CTTCGTGTTCGAGAAGGGCCACGCCACGCTTCTTGCAACAGAGCCCCCCCATGAACACTAATAGCCTTGAGTCAGAAGTACTAGGTTTACCCAACACAATGTAAAGACTGAACAGGGCGCGCCACTGCACCAGTTCATATTTGGTACCAACAATTGCCCTCGATTTTGTGACCGTATCATAAGTGTAGCAAGCTCATCATCCCCGAAAAGCAACTTGCAACTCCCAGCGACATTGCAAGACATAACGAAACAACCATGGCGTGGTGGTGCTTCCGAGCATGGGAGTGGATTGATCTTGGCACAGCATCCCTTGAAAGGCATCCACAAGGAGGTGCCGAATGTTGATTGAAACACCCATGTCACAAGGTGGTCCACTAGAAAAACTGCGGGCGGCATGCAGAAGCAGGATTTGTCTTTGTCACCCTATTCAAGAGATTGCCTTTCTCAAGGGATCCCCTTTCGCCTTTCCATACAACTTCCAAAGTGAGTCATTTCCTCAAACTCGTTGAAGCGCCACATTGGCGCTACGAGTTACTCACAAACTCAAACGATGCACTCCTTTTTCGTGTGAAAGTGGTTAGTGCCAAATTGGGAGGATTGGCCCAGCTTCACTGGGCTGCTCCCCTCAGCAGCTGATGGGAGTCGATTTGACGCCGGCTCCGTCCGCGGGAAACCCGCCTCACCACGTGCCCTCCTTGCACTATGGGTGAGGGAGGAAGGAGGCGAAGATCGACATGATGAATCTATTTCTTGTAGAAGGAACAACCCGGGTCCCAGCTGGAAAGTTGAGATCCGGATGGGTGAGCTCATCTGCCCAAGTATTGTAGTCACGCATCACGCGTGACGGGCCAATCATGACCTGACTGTCATGAAGAGCAAGAACGAGCATCTTGCGAGTGGAATCGCTCGGAAGGGAGGAAACAATACCGTGATTGTCGCTAGCAACCAGGATGCGGGAGTGTGAGACTGAGCAATGCGAGACAGCTCTCACCAAAAGGGCGAAGAGCTCAAGCGCGGCAATGGCTCGCTGTATTGGAACTACTTCGCATGGTTCTTCTCCGGCTCCTCGAGCACCACCCAGGCGTGATCCGCCTGTATGCTGGCCCCAGCATCTGATGCTCCCGTCCACGGAAGCGTGTTGGAGTAAAGGGCGATGCTAAGGAGAATCGTTGGTTGAAGAGCTTTTCCAACAGGACGGCCAATGCCCAAACAAGTTTGGGGGGCGTACCGAGGTGACGCACCTTCTTCCAACTCTAAAAGAGTTGGGGGAAAAGGCTCCACCTGTTTGCTCGTGCAGCAATCACCCTTGGCAAGCGTCTGGGGCGCGCAATGATGCTGACATGCTCGTGGCGTTTGTGTAGCCGAGCTTCCGGTAGATGGCCGGTGCCATCGTTGGAGACAGCGCGACCCACCATTGCTTGGTGTTGCAGCCAGTTTACCTTGGCCTCACCCAACACCACGTCCTGGACCGGCAGCTGCAGCAGGAGTGTCGGTGAGGAAGTCCTTTGCCGCCAGCATTCTTGCCCTGGTTCCTGGCCTCTCTGCCTGGCGTTCTGCAGCAGGTGAGAGTGTTTGTGCGTGCTTGCGTGCAGATGCAGCCACTGATTGCAGATCAGGTCGCAGGCCAGATCAGACTGGATGGCAGGCCGCATCGAGCTTAGCAAGAGCTTCGAGATCAGACGCCACGGCATCCCAGTCTGTTATTTCAGCCAGTGGTTGTTTCACAATGTGACTTGTCGAAGACTTAGCCGCGGTGCGTTTTGCCAAGATATGTTTCGCAATGTTTCGTAATTCCCCTGTGCCCAGGTGCCTGACTCACACCGCCAGCGCCCAAAAGATTGATCGCAGATCGGCAGCCCGGGGCCGAGGGCCCGCTTGTTCAGCTCGTCGATGGAGTAGCGGGCCCAAGGGAGACCGTCCGTGTAGTGGTTCCTGCCTCTCCAGGTCAGCGTGCAAAAGTCCAGATCTGGCCAAGCCGCTTGGTCATCATCCACTTCAGAGGAGCGGCCGTCACGTCGTTGCAGCAGGGGAAGTTTCTGCGCGCTGTTAAACTGGTGGAGGCCCTCCGCGATCTTTTGTGTCCGCGTCAGGATCCGGCCAAGGGGGGATCGAGATTGCTTCGTTGTTGTCCGAGGAGTCCTGCTCTTTGGCCTTGGCCATCAGCTCCCTCCGACTCTGCCACTGGGCATCAGCCCGCGCATCCAGACGCCGCAGCCGCTGGCATCGTCCTGGGTTGCAAGAGGTCCAGGATTGCTCAAAAGGACTTTGAGGGGCGTGTCAAGCCTGCTCCAGCTCAGAAAACTCCTCTTCCTTCTCTATCGACTCGTCCTCTGCCTTGCGCTTGGCCGGGACGAGGGGGACCTGGTCCAGCTCATCTGCGCTCAATAAAGAAATGCCCATACCTCCTCCCGCTGCACAAGGCTTGCCAGGTACTTCTCCATGGAAGCCTTGGCCTTGGCTCTGCCACGCTGTTACCGGCATACATAGGCGCGTAAATGGCTTTAGAGGAGAGAGGGGATAAAGATGTCAAATCAAGAATAAAGACTGGAATGGTCCACTTGAGCCAAAACGTTTCCCAAGTGACACTTGTGCCCAAAGTCACTTCGAAACACGCACCGTATTGGCTGCCGTGAGCGTCACCTGGAAAGCTGAAACATAGGTGGCCATAAGCCACCTAATTCAAAATGCCGCGCTGAGCCAGCGGCTGAGTTCTGGTCGGGGGCAGTCGCATGTAGGTCTTGAAGTACCTGTATCAAGCGGGAGAGGCTTGTTCCAAAGGGCACCAGGGTCAATAAATTGCAACCCTCCAATCAATGCACCCCTAAACCCTCCAGCGAGAACCTTGACGCTTCAAAGATAGGGCCCTTTCCTTTTGCGCAACGCTAGAGTCGCTGGAGATGTTCCAGGAAGTTGACCAGGGTGCAAACAACTCCCCTACTCCGAATTAGTGCGCCGGTAGGGTTCCCAAAGCACTTGCAGAAATGGATGAAAACGCGGGTTCCAAAAATAATAAGCAGGTTTTTGAGAGGGATCGCCGGATTCACCTCCCAAACTTGCAATTCGGTGGTAAGTAACGCACGGTAAGTTCTTATGTTCTGACCTTTGGAGGCGCAAAAGGGATGCAGCTGGGTATACATGATGCTTCGGCAACGCAGTTGGGGTACGTGGGTGGTTGTCAAATTGGGGCTCCCGAATTTGCAAAGTTAGATGATGCAGGGCTTCCAAAGCAGTTGTAAGCAGGGGTGACCCACGTGATGCCATCCCTCCAGCTGCTCTGATTGTCACTTTGACGGGGATTGCTGGCAACCTAAAACCGACATGTTTCCGCCATGCCCTCTGCCCCCCCCCCCCCCGCCGTGAGTTCACGAGTTTTTTTGGGGAGAGAATGGTGAGATAACAAAAGCAAAGGTGCCCCTTTTCGGCCGTGCCAAATGGCGTCCTTTTCGTGTCCGAAAAAAGACTCCTGGAGCACTTGGGGTTGCCGTTGTCATGGTACTGCCGCTCCTCAGCTCCGAGCCCGATGCAAACATGAAATGGGCCATTGAAAGGCTGCTCTGATTCTGTATGCTTCGGCCAAAGCAGATTTTCAGGCCCAATTTGACCCTGCTTGTCACTTCTCCTGTTCTGCTCTGATTCACCTTTGCCCGACTCGGTTGCTGGCTCCAAGTTTACATTTCCGACTAACCCATTCGTCAAGGGGCTTGCGCTATACATCCCACACCCCCCTCCCCTTAAGGGAAGCCTTGAACGACCTCGAAATGACCCTATACAAGGCCGACATTATTTCCATGGTTTCGCTTCATTTTGGTTGTCTTTTGGGGGTGCAGGTTCCTGGCTGCCTTGGGGCGTCAGCATGCTGTCCGAGGCTCTGTGAAGACCCTGCCATCCATCTCATCTGCGTCAGAATCATCCTGGCTTCGGCAAAACACAGATCTGTACCAATGGGGAGCAACAGTTTAGAGGAATCCGCCAGGTTGATTAATCCAGTGTCAACGCAAATTACTAGCCGTTTCCATCAAACATGAAAGTGGGCAAACGGCTGTTTGAGGGATGGCAGTCTTCCAAAACCCTCTCCACTCTCCACTTCATGATTGTTGGGAAGAGGTTATAATTCACCAACAAGTTCATCTAGAGTTTTCAGGCGCTCCCACTATAGTGCAAAATGGATACGTCAAAACATGTCAAACCGGACCGCTTTGTTGGACGGCCGAATAGAAGCAACAGGACGCTCTAACAAAGATGGACCCTTCTGGGATGACTTTACAAGAACAGCAACAGGAATCCAATCACTTGCATAAGTCACATTCGGGCTATTCAGTGCATCCTAGAAGGTCGGTAGAGGCTAATCAGGGCACCCCAAGACCTAGGGTTCTCCGAGCAACTAAGGCTTGCCCGGGCAGGGGGGGGGGGGTGGGGGGGGGGGATAATAGCAAACATGCGCGCACAAACACACATGCTGTGCACACAGGTGAAGATGCTCGTCAGGTCCTGGCCTCAAGCACGCGTACACATACGCACACAAGCACGGTCATGCACGCTCAAACAAATAAGCTCGAATCGGCATCAGCGCATGGTGTCCGTCACGCTGGCAACATGTTCACTGCAGCATGGCTCTTGATCATGCGCCTTTGCTAGCGCTTGCCCTTTCATACCTTATTCTTTTGCGCCTAGCGCGCCAGCCATCGCCGATATCGAACTCCGCGGAGTGGTTCTGTGCTTTCTGGAGAGCAGATTTGTTTCTTCTCGACTCTCATCAGGACATCTTCAGTTGCACTCAGCGTGCAGATCCAGTGCTGGGCTTCGTGCTTGAGGTAGCTGCCCTGTCCGATCGATCACCGTTGCCTTGGAACCTGCTGCCCTCGGCACTTCCACTTTTGGCCTCGGCTTGGAGCCGGTACGCGAGCCATCATTCTCTAAGCTCATCGCTAGCTGCCGCTTGCTTTGTGCTGGCCACCAGGCTGCTCGGGCTGCGCGAGCACTGCTTGCAGCCTGACATGAATCTAGGTGTCGATCATCCTGAGACACATCGATCGCATTCACCTTTTCGCCAAGATTCGCAGGGATCGGCTACGCCTTCGCAGGGATCGGCTACGCCTCCGCCTTCGCAGCTGTGCCTACATGATTCTCCAATGTCGAAACGGAGGATCAGTTACTGGCCATTGACTATTGCAAGCTGATGCTTTATGCTTTTAATACTGACGCTTATTTCTTAAGCCTTGAAACAAGATTATTACTAGTAACAAATTGTTTTGGATGCTAAGGCTACTGGGAAGAACAAGGCGCTGCTGCTGCCATCTTTGCAGCTTCTGGGGCACTTGCGTGGATCTCACGGAATCTCCTTGCACAGTGTCATCCTCGCCCAGCGAGCCGATCGAGGAGGCTTCCGTCAGTGTCAGCGTCACGGCTTTTATTTGTGCGGCGGCGACAATGTTGCTGAAGCCATCGCCAGTGTCAGCAAAGGACAACTCAGAAGGCAGAATCTGTTGGGCAGAGGCACGATTCACGGTCATGATCATACAAATGTTTTGGCAGCGCATTATTTGAACAAAGGTGCCGGCTTGGCCCGCGTCCTAAGGGCGCTCGCCATCCACAGGCGCAAGGCAGCCGAAGGGCTGCTATCGCCTTCCGAAGCATTTTCCAAACCGCTATGGCTGCGCTGAAAAGGGCATTTTCGGGCTGACTATCACGGATTCCCGCGGGAACTCAACCTTGCAATCCCCTGTTTTTTCCAATGCAAATCAAATACTGTTCAATTTCACTGGCGTTTCCTATAGTTTTGAAGCATGTGCAGCCGCTGTTTCGGCTGGCGTGAGTGAAAAGTTGCTGGCATGGACAATACTTTTGTGAGTTTTCTTCAAAGGATGCATGCTTGCAAACTTGGAATGTTCATGTGGGCGCGCGCGGATTTTCAGAAAATCTGCGCGCGGCAAGATAGCGAAACCAAGAGCCCATTCATGCCAACCACAGTAGAGTTTCGAGTGGAAGAGGTTCCGAAGCAATCTGGCTTCGGAGAACCTCAGGTCTTGAGCGTCAGGGCATATCTATCATTGGCCAAGTAACTCTGATAACCTCCCCTTCATCCCACTGAACCACACCATTCCTCTAAGTGAATCAGGAGCCTGGTCGCTGGTATAGCCCTTGTCCAGCGTGACCTGCGGGTGAAACACATGAAAATTGGCAGGGGGCCATCCTTCAATGACTCAATCAATGACATACCAACCCTATCTGTGTTTGTGCAAAAAGCGAGGAACCCGTTGGAGACCCTGTAGTTGGGTGTTTTCCTTCCACATGCTGCACACAGATCGATTTGGCGGGCCACTTTGAATGATGCTTTCAATGCAGATCCCCCGCAAACGTCGCCGCAGAAACCCTGACCAACCCTAGGTCTTCCCCCTATCCACCCGCCAGCCCCCTTCAATGATTTCGCAATCAACAGTGTGTTTGTCAGTTTCCTTATTAGCGCTCCCTTCGTCGCGCGACGTAGTTTCTTGAACGAGGCATATGATCCCAAAGGAAAGCTCTTTGTTGCAGAAAGGGGACGATTCCAAGAGACCGAGGACCAAAGTCTTACTGTAGACTTGGATGTGTTCTTTGAGGGAACCTTTCTGGGGGTTGTTTAGAGGGAAACCAAATCAATTGGAGCCCCCCATCTTATCGCCTTGATCCTTATCCATGGTTGTGCCTTATTTGACCCCCAGGGTCAAGCACTAGAATGCTAGAGTCCCATTAATTTTTCAACATAGACCAACTCCTTCCACAAAACTAAAGGCCACGGCACCTCGGTCCGGTGCCGCGTGTAGATGCGCGCGAGCTGCAGCTCCTCTAGGCTGCTCCTCCCGGGCAAAAGGCGTTTCGGGAGGGCAAGCTTCCCATGGGAGAACCGTTTAAGGTCCTATGATGTCCTATGCCTCACTTCAGGTTTTTGTGATTTGTGAAGGTTTTACTGGAGGGCAACTGGACAAGCAGCATTGTTGATTCTGTTTTTGGATGTTAACGAATGGTTTGTTATGACAAACGCTTTCATCAAGGGTGGGGTTGCAAACCAAAAACCCTCCGCGAGGTCGCGGATTCCTAGAAACAGCCAGCTGTACAAAATGGAGATCATATCTTTTTCATAAGCCAAGGGAAGGATTAAGGATTACCATTGAACAGCTCAGCAAAGCCAAGCCAAGCAAGGGAATCTTTGTTGAATGCGGGCAAGCAAGCACAGCAGGCAAGCAGAAAATCAAATCTATATACGGAGCAAACACCCAATGCTCTTGGCATGGTTACAAGGAAACATGCGAACATTGTCCGCAAAGCAGCAGTGCATTCTCTAACCCAGCAATAGCTATGACGGATCATTTCGAGGAACCCAGTTTGCAGAATTCAAATCAGCAAGCGGGTCTTTCTTCAGCTGGGGGGCTCCAAACAAATGAGTTTCCAGTTTAGCACCAACCAAAAGGGGGCTTCAATTCTACCCTGTGCACCCTTGTACTACTGTATCTGGGAAAACACTGCCATTTTTGCTGCCCGACCAATGAAGCACATACCAAGAGCGACTAAGCATGCACAGCACAAACCAAGTTAGCGACTAAGCACATACCCAGGGCGACTACAATTTTCTCCCAGAACTACAAGAGCCAACAACCAACCGAGCCCCAAAACACACACACAAACGACCAAGCACAGTTGAGATCAATACAAGTCAGAAGAGTGAAGACTTTCAGATACTTTCAGCTGACTTACCTGCGACTGAGCCCCCGAGCTTCCGCAAGTCCAGGACCCCCTGGCTGCCAGCAACTGCCAGCTGCTCCTCACGCCAGCACTGCCCAGTTGCTTGGTGAGTACCTCTTTTGCCCCGTTCAATGCTTTGCTTGATACTGGGGTATTCCCGAACCCCCCACCCATTAAACAAAATCACCCGTTTGGGGTAAGGTGATTCAAGGTTTCACGACCTGCCCTTGACTCTAGGGTGGACCCACGGCTCGTTGGGCATGGGGGGAGGGGGAGGCTTTTTGCCCGGGGGAAACTTCTGGGCACTGTAGGTTGACGGATGAGCACATGGGCTCGCCTTAAAAAGAAGGTTGCGACAGTCCCCTATTTTAAATGTGGCGTTTGTGCCTTGTCGGGAATCACACGCCCGTGAACCATGGCAGGTATCTAAGAACCGGGAGACTCTGAAACCGCAGTCATGAACCCCAAGAGATCACTCGATCGGGTTCCAAGCGGTTGGGAGAAGGGCCCAGAACACTGGAAAACAGCTCCCTTTCTGAAACATGAGGCCCCTCGGCAGGCCTGTGTTTAAAACCAACTTTGGCGCAATCAGCCTGGCAAACGCTCGAGTCTACCACAAAACAACATGTTCTTGGACTCACGCCCCACGTCCAAAGAACAGCAGTGCTTTGTGCACCACCGAGAAGGTAGCAGTGGCGATGCAATGTGAGCTGTGCGCAATGAGGCGCAGTCTGCCGGCGTTCGTAAATGTGTGCTGGATCTGCATCTTGGTTATATTCAAACCAAATAGCAGGCACACGCTCGTTTCGCCAGGACTACCCACAACTACTTGCACTACTAGCAATGGGATCCATCAACGCTCTCATAAATGAACGGAACAGAAAACCTATTCTCAACAAAAACCCACAAAACAAGATTAACCTTTTAGTGCCATGACTAAAAATGGACCAGCAAAAAAAACCAAAAGATCACACAATCAACTTTGAACAAAAAAATATTCGTACTGACATGAAAGCTTCAGCAATAGCAAGTCAAACAAGGCTCTCCTTCTTGTCTGTGTAGCCCTTGGCATTTGCCATGATTTCTGCGACGTGCCAGTTGCGCACGAATTGACAGTGGACAAAAAGTCTTTGCGTAAAGCGGCTGCAAACAACACTCAGGTTGCAGAGCTAGGGACATCGCAAACTCCGATTCTGCCAGGCGGTGGGTGGGTCTCCATGATCGCTTTTGGTGTTGCTCTGATGCTGCCGAGGCCAAACAGAAACTCGGGACACCGTATTTCAGGCATGTTGGCGACAGCCGAAATGCTGCGCTGTGACTTGAACAACCAACAGACCCCGACTGTTCCAACTAGTGAGTCAGTTGTGCACCACAGCAATCAATCCCTATCATACAATCAGTATCCTTCTCATGCCATGCAGAGTCGCGTCATCAGATTCGCGTCACATGAGGCTAACCCCTCGCCCCCACCATGGAAGATCCCCCCAAAAGCAACAATATGGTGTCAGAAGCAAAAGCAGCTGGGGTTGGGACAATCTCCAGGAGAAAGGGAATGTGTCATCAGAAACGTCTGCAAAGGCCGGCGTGCTGCGACATGGCTGTTTTCAATCGCACTCGTGTCGATCTGTACCACCAGGCTTAGCTGGAGCAGTGCGGCATCTCGACCTGTTCCCAGTGCCAGGTAACTTCCATTTCTCCCAAATGGTTGACTTCAGTCCGCTCCAGGTGGGCCTCCATCATGAGAGGCTCTATGTGTGGCCTCCACTCCCCGTGCGACTCAAGCAAACAAGGTGGGCTACCCACTCCAAATGGTTCTCTCTAAGCTTCGCTCTGACTGTCCAAGTAGGGTGCTATGCCTCAATCCCTGCGATAGCCCGACTTGTGCATAACTCTACCAACAAGTTTTGAGTGTGCCAATTCAAGCGCTAGGAACCCACAAAGGATCCTGTGGCAAGGATTTCCTCATGGATGAAAACAAGCACTGACCTGCTGAGATGATTTGCCAGAACATCTGACAACTATGTTTGGCCTCTGAAAAAAAACATGAAGACGCTTGCCACTAAGAACTCTAAGGTCTGTTGATTCAACATCACTTGCCCCAAGGACCTGACAATTAGAGCAGGTGGACTCACTCAGCGTAGAGCAAGGGGTCACCCGGGCTGATCCGGTCGGAAAGAGATATTCACTCAACATTGGTCCAGCAGGTGCGCCAAACGAAAGCGAAAGCGGAGAAAAAAAAGAAGCGCTTGATTGTGGAAGTGCGAGGAACGCCCGAACAAGGAACCAGGGAAACCCACCAAGAAGGAACATCACACAAAGGGACACCAAACCGCCAAAAAGGCAAGTGCGAGGACCCCTGTCTGTCGCGTCTCGGGAACTGGTGATGCAACCCTGCTTCTGAGCAGCTGCTTCGCCTCGCTCGGCGAAGCCCTAACGATCCTTTGGATCTGACATAAGCACCGCCTTGAAAGCGTCGCTTGTTGAGCAGTGCAAGAAGCCAGCCAATGCCAACTTTGGACCAATCCGGAGGACAGTGTGAATCACGGGTGGTTCCCGTTTCGGTGGGGAATCGTCGCGTTTTCGTTGGATTCCTCTGAGAAGTACCGTCCTCTGGACCAGCCGGAGGATGACATTGCTCGCATAATTTAATAGCGTCATGCGAAGACGGAGTGTCATCAGCTGTCGTAGTCCTTAACATCTGGGATGCTGCGCTTGAACACTTCACCTGGCCGTGGCAAACAACAGAGCATGGAGGACAAGCGAACGGCTCCAATCATGCTTTCGTTGGTTTGTTGCCGTTCCCCAGTGGTTTATAGAGTGGAACCCCCTAACATGGATACACCCACAACTCCTCTAAGGTGGTAGTCCAGCTGCCAGACGCACGTCTGAGCTTGGGCTGCAGGGACCATTCCCAATCAGCCTGAGTACATGTGGGGGGTTTCCAACCGAGCTCAATTTAGTCACAGCCAAACAACGCATTAACGGGCTCTAATTTAAGGAATGAAGAGGGCTTGTTGTCAAACCTGTTTCTGGTTGGGACTGTTCCCCCTCCAACCCTCAACTACCCAGGTCTTGATGACTCCACCTAAACGGAAACTCGTTTAACATTGCCCTACCAAGTGATTTTGAACCATCAAAACCTTCGATTGTCCCCTACTAGCTTCCATCCAACTGACAGACTTCCCCATATGTTCGTGGAAAAACATCATCCTTGCCGGTCCCTACCAAAAGAACTCACAAACGGTGCTGTTTGAAACCATCAAAAGAGAAATACTGGAATTTCCGAAAAGGGCACTGCCCAGCATCAAAGCAAGTTCGATGGTCGGGCATGCCATTTCTCTGGCAGAGACTGGGCAGCCACCTGCTAACGAGACGCCAAGAGAAAGCGACTTGGAAACAGTCCGAGTATGTACATATCTTATATGACACGCTTTGTTTTTGTGTAAAGACACATACATATAGTGTATATATATATATATACTAATATACACATGAAGGACATACTTTTTAGCTGTCCCTACACCCTCCATCATATGGAGAACACCCAACAGTTTCGATGGCCACTCACGATCACAATCAGGGCGGGAAGGCGGAACATGTCCTCAGAGCATGGGCCACACCAAAAGGTTGCTCACTTGCCCCTTGGGTTGGTCTCATAATGTAAAACCAGGATGAACAAATAATCCTCTGGTTGATTTATAGGGGGGATTTGATGCAGGAGGGGGATCCTTCAATTTTGACGGACACACCTCCTGATTATCCTGATTAATCCCAGGGGCCACGGTCGGGCTCTTGACAAGCCCTTGACGAAGGGTGATCTCAGGCAGGAAGCCAAAGTTATCCCCTGGAAAGTTACCAAAGCCTTCTGTTCGCAGGGGTTCTGATCGAAGGGGTGGTTCGGGAGCTTTCTGGGCGGGGGGGGGGGGGAAGGTCTCTCCTAAAATCTTGCATGATCACCTATTCATCGCTGCATTCCTGTCAGTACGTCAATCTCATCTGAGTGAATCACAACTCACCAAACGAGGGGTTCCCTATGAAATGAAGCTCCAGCATGGGTCTTCGGTTGCAAACCCACACTTTTGTAAGCTCTACAAGCGATTGCAATCCAAGTTGCGTAGTTCTGGTCATCGGGACTGAATTGGGGAATCGCGAAGTGAATCTCCTTGTATCCCCTGGCGCTTGCCAGGCCGCAGTTTCTTTGGATGCCAGAGCTGCGAATCCAACAGAAACGTTGCTAAACAAGTCCAAAAGAGGGGAAACATCAGGTGCGGTCTGTTAGGCCCCGCTGCCAGGAAAGACACCACAAACACAACGGCAAACAAACCTGTATTTTGGTTCTTACAAAAGGTGAAATCCACGAAACAGGTATCCGACATGTTTCTCGTGCGCACGCAAAGCCAAGATAGGCAGGTAATCTCTAAATCATTCGAGTGTTTGGGTTTGTCGCTAGGGGAGGGCTTCTGAATGTCTCAAGCATGGCTGTCAGAAGGCTTCAAACACACGAGCCTCAGTTCGGTAGCCGCATGCCCATGCCAGCCATATCTCAAGTTTCTTGCCAATCATGCATGTCAAGGAGCCTAATGGGGGAGAGACTGCACACCAGCAGTTCTTATTTTGAGAAATGCCCAAAAGTGCTTGAGAGGCTTCCTGAGAGTTGCCTAGGTTCTTAAAAACCTCCAATTTGCTTATTGCTCATTGGTTTGTGACAAACAGGTCACTGGTCCCCAGAATTTTATTTGCTCCCTGAAATCCAGCCAGTTGCGCATATCCCGTCGACATTTGCGGGAGGAGTTACGGCCATGCCGAGTGCCGGGGTGAGCTCTCTAGTCTCCCGGCTCTGGAGCCATCTTTCCCGCGGATGCAAACATAGGCACACGCCATCTGGTTTGGAACGCCGAGGACACTACGTAGCCATCTGAAAAGCATTTGTTGGGCAGCCATTTTGCGAGGAAACCAAAAGGAAAGAGCAACACACCAGCACTGGCAACGCAGCCCCAGTTTTGGTACTTTATAAATGTGACTTTATTGCTCCTGCACAGGTCGTTGCTGCATGTCTTGGGTGTGGCCGCCATGGTCGACCTAACCGGGCCATGCAACGAGGGTGCACTCAAAATCCTACAAAAAGAAGGTAGGATGCGAATGACCAACCTGGTTGAACCTGCTTCTCGGCAAAAACAAGGCTTTCGAACACAACACCTAGCTTTACTTTCCGCAAGCTTCGCGAAACCCAGATTCCCCTCCTGGAAAACGGTTTTTGTCAGAACCTTTTTCAAAGGATTTGGAGTAGCAGGAATGGATCGAACATGCGTAACCCGGAATTTGTACCTGAGGTACGCTCCAAATTACTCGTTTCCCCCCAAAACGCCACCCCTCCCCACGCCCCGGACCTCACCCGTGCAACAGTCAGTCTCGACCAACCCTTACATAGCTGGTAGCCAAGGGGGTAGCGGTTCGCAGTCTTTACAACCAACAGGTCCGGATCGTTTTCTAGCTTGACCAGCTTCCGGGGTGCGCCACAAACCCATAGACCCTTGCTTGTGCTGTTTGGTGGCCAAACATTTGCTTAGCCTTGGATTGGGGACCGGCTTTTGGATGGTTATTCTAAGGAAATCAAAAGGACATTCACCTGTTGTTGGGTCCACCCCCCCCACCCCCCCACCCATTGGCATAAGGACTGCCCAGCCCCTCTTCCAAAGCACTGAAATCCCAACTTGGGGTTCTGGCCCCGCAGCAAAAGTCATGCCAAGCTCGCTGGCCCAAGCCATCTTTCAGCAGGGCTTGCACGAAGAGGCCGGCAATCTGGACTGGGTCCCCACCTCAGATCGCCACCATGTCGAAACAAAATTCTGGGCGTGAAACAAATTGGTTCAAAAGAACTGCTAATGAGGCCGTGGGATTGATAAATTGGGGGATGTCCTGCTGAGATTCTTCACACCCCGTATTCATTGGTTGATGCATCCGTGGTCAACATTTCCCTCTGCCAACATGGAGGCGGACAAAGAGTTGCAACTGAAGCAGAATGGTCCAAAAAACATTACATGCAGACTTGGAAGCATCTTATGAGGTACGCAGCAGGAACCCAGAAATAAGATGGTTGGGGTATAAAGGAAAGGAGAAAGGATTCAGCACTCATCTCTTCGTTCTTCATCAACATCTTTTCTATCACATGGCATGACCACGCTTATGAATGAACATGCTTGAATGCAACACAGGACGAACACAAAACAAATAATACGAATAATCAGATTTCCATATGTTCATTATAACTATACATTATAAGCCCAATCAATGTTCTTCTTCTTCATACCTCATGTTGTAATAATAATGCTGGTACACCTTGGATCATCTTATGCTTGTATTATTTTATCATCTTGAGATTTATTAGATTCATAGATCCATATCATTCCTGGTCGATTCATAGAGGGTGTCCCACTTTGGAGGGGATCTTTCATCTTTGGCGGAAACACCTAGTCCGCCAGGTTTATCTCTCCTGGGTCGACATTCATTCCCCAGGATGGCAAACCACAGCGGATCAGCACGCCGGCTACCAAAAACAAATTGCCTGGAGGATCTGCTGTTGTCCAGGTCTTTCCGCAGGAGTGATGGCAAAAGGGCATGGTTCTTGCGGCTTGCGTGGGACCCTCCCAGGTGTGTAGACTGTGAGGGAGTTGCTGTTTTGAGCCCAAAAGGCAAAACTCCTGTTCCATTTCCATTGGGAACTGGCCAAAAAAGGGGCACGTATTCAGGTCCTGTGCAACTTTCTTTCATCTACGTGATGAGGAAGGGATGCTTCATATTTCTACAGACTTCTAAATAAGAGATTCAGAAATAACAAACGAAGTCAAGCGGCCCAGCATGTCATCTATGATTGCCAAACGTGTCCCGGAAATGAACCCCCCCTTTGAAGGTCGGCTCTTTTTTGCCATATTGTGTGCCAATGCGAGAGATGCCTCGATTGTGAACACACACACACACACACTCACACACACACACACCACAAAACACATTGCGCTGCTGGTGGATATCGAGCCAACAGTGTCATGCTGGCCTTCTTTTGAATTGAGCCAAAAAAGGGCTTCTTACTTTAAAGACACGGGTGTTTGCAAAATGGGCCCCTGGAAGTGGTTGGTTGCCTGTTGGTTCGAATCACACACCGTTTGTGAATTATAAGAACGGAACAAAGAGAAACAAACCGTCATCATAGGCCCGAGGTCACACAGCAAATCCGTTTAAGGTCGCCAGAATCTATGCTTCACAAATTATGGTCCTGGTCCATTCTCTAGGGGCTTATAAATGGAGGGCCAAATCCGAAACCGCCAGGGGCTTCGGATGCGGATCCAAATGTGTCCCCTGTGCCCCACCTGGGGGCCGTGCCGAAGGCACCGCAGCCCCAGGCGCCCAGGACCAGCGTGGTGATGCCTGGCCGAAACTCAAGTTTTATCAAGGCAAGCCCCGTTAGCGGTTCAGCACATGCCCTGCAAAAACATACTCGAATACATGTGTTCAGCGAATAAATACACTTTCATGCAAAGACAATCCAGAACATCTAGACACATTCGGCCAGCGTCAAGACAATTAAATTCACTGGCAGCCCAGTCCCAATGCTGCTTGAAGAGTTCCTGTCTCTGCAGTCACGACAACATGTTGGCATCTCCAGTTGCATCTCTGTAGATCTTCACCATCAATTCCCTTCATCGGTGGCTTGGTTAAGTGTACTTCAGCTTGGGCGCCTCCTGGAAGAGCCTGCGGCTCCCCCAAGAATTCCGGGTTGCAGCACAAGCTCAATTCAATTGGTCGCTTCAGCCGATGGGTTTTTGAGGGGTCCTTGTAGCATCGCTTTTGGCTATGGGTAGCTGAGCATCGATGATTCGCACAGGTAGCGTTGAGAAGCAATCAACCAGGGACCAAGGGATTCTAGCCTTGTATCCAAGGCCCATCAGTTGACTTGGCAAACTGACTAAGAATTTTGTGAACGATGCCTTTGTCGTGTACAGGCAACCAACAAGTTCAACTGTTGCTGTTTCTGGCCTGAGGCTCGGCCCAACAGGTCTGAAGCGCGTTCCAGGCTCCTTGGGGTTGCCACTGGGCAACCACAAGGTCAACAGGTCGATGGATGCTTTGGGCTGACAATCCAGGGGAACTTATTAAGCACAACTGCCAACGCTGGCATTGCAAGGCAGATAGGTTCAAGGATGCATGTAAATTATCACACTTCCAGCTGGTGACGGCCTGCGATCCCGGCAGCAACATGAGCAGCTGACCTAAAGTTGGTGTGCTCTATTTTTCTGTTGGGGCAGGGATCCTCTTTGGTGTAGTGGGTAAGGAAAGGCAAACGGCATTTGGAGACGGACACATCGCTTTGGCTCCGTTTGACCCTCTTGCCCCTTTGCCCTCGACCCGCCTTTTTCAGCCACATGGGGCGCCATGAAAATGGTCTCCATGGTCCTCTGGGTCGGCGTGTTTTGAACCTTTTTCAACCAGCTGCTCGGTGACCCTGGAAGAAAAACATATATATATATATATATATCTTTTTGGGTGTTGTCTTTTGTGCCTGGCCCGCAGTTCAATACACGGAACGCGTCTCAAAATATCATACCCCTCCCAAATGAGTTCTTTGCCATTTAGGGATATTTTGTCACTTCAAAGGATCCCAATGTTGGCATTCTCGAAAGCTCTACGTCTTGTAATTGAAGCTTCAACTTGGGCCCTGCAAAGTAGTTTCTCCCTTGGTTCCCAGAGCTTTACAAAGTTGGACTTGGAGGACTAAAATTCGTGGGATCTCGGCCGCTGATGTTGGGCAGCTTTCTTTCGGGTGCAGCGCAGTCAGGGCAGAAGTGCTCAAGAACAGTGGGCCCTTGGATTTCCTTGTCAAGCTACTGCTTCAGAGAGCCACAAAAGCGTGACCTTGTCGCAAAAGGAGATTTCGATTAGTCATGGCCCACCCACGTGTTGTGGCCGCAGTGCATCGGAGGAGCAACCCGGGTGTCATTTGAAAACTACTTGATAGGTAACCGGTGTCCTCGCTTTCTGAAAGTGGAAATGGTGAAGGCTTCTCCTTGTCTGCCAGTCTAAAGGTCAGGAACCCGCTTGCTCATGAGCCAAAAGTCCAGTTTTTGAAAGCCTGAAGAGAGCCTTCAGGAGACAGACTCAAAACTACCCTCTTCGAGAGTGCCCTAACATCAAGGACGTGTCGTTTGAATCATAAACCAAAAGAAACCAAGAGTGATTTGAGATCACCCAATTGACACCATGCAATGAACACGTGCAAAAGCCACCACAAGCCGCCAAACCTCGCAAACCAACTCGCGAACAAAACGGCCCTCGACCGTGGCGGCGTCTGCAGCCCAAGCTGTCTTCACCACATGCAAATATGCATCATTCTTGGCTTATGCACTTCGAACATGGAATCTGCAAAGCCCCTGGAAAGACAACTCTCCCTACAAAGGCGTCTTCTGGAATCCATGTTTGTTGGAGGGAGTGGATTCCGATCCGATTCCTGGCTGCTTAACAAACGGCGCACGGCCAGTGTCATCTGTCCTGTACACAAGCTTCTCGTCATTCACCTCAGGAGCAAATTTGAGCGCGTCAAGAACCCCATTTCGGTGGATCAACTCAACATGCTTGTGGAAATCAAACTTTCTGCGTTGCTGACGTGGGCAGCATCACAGAACGCGGTGAATGTATATATATATATATATGGTACGCCCCCCATGGACCCTGACCCTGGTTTGATGAGTTTGAGCTGTGTGATTTATGTTTTTCTTGCCTCGCTGACTGTGTGGCGAAATGAGCGGGGGAGGGATGCCATATGTGTATATATATATATATATATATGGGTATTTACGCATCTGCCATTTGACAAAGTCTGCATGCGTCTAAGAGTATTGAGGCAATGTTGGAATCTTTTAAACAAAAAACTGTGATTCAAGATTCAAAAATCTGAGAAGATTTTTCAGGAATCTTGAATCTTGCGCCTCATTTTTTAAAACGAAAATAAGCATTTCTAGTGTTGTCCCAATACTCCATGTTTCCAATACATACTTCTGCAACCAAGTATGCGGACTCGTTTGCAGTCACACGCCTGTAATCTGCAATCCTCGAAGTTCCCGCAATGGCTGGATTCAAAGTGCGAGGACAAGATTCTCGAAAAACCTACAATGAAAGATTTCAATCTTGAATCTTCCATCCAGCTTGTCTGGGGTTGGCCAGGATTGACGATCTCGGGAATGTTTTCTGTGCAATCTTCAATCTTGAGTCTTCAATCCAGTGGTAAAGCACGCTCAAGTGTTTCGAAGAACCTGAATGTGATTTTTGTTTGGCCAGGATTGACGATTCTCAGGAAACTTGTCTGTGCAATCTCCAACCTTGAGCCTTTAATGCAGTGGGAAATACTTTCAAGTGCTTAGCGATGCAATGAAACAACTTTCAAGTTCTTAGACACACTTTCAAGTGCTGTTTGGCGAGCTTGTGCACAGAGGTAGGTGTAATGCTCAAAAGCACTGTGTTTTACAGTCTTTTGTGAAGAGGCGCCGCAGGAGTACTTTATGTGTGCATGTATGTGTATATATGTATGTTTCAATGCCCCCCAACAAAAACGCGCTTGCAGGTTTGTGAGGTGGAGCAAGGCCATCTGAGACAGCTTCGAGACAGATGTTTCCAGACATAGGTAGACTTGTGCAGATGTTTCATGAAGGCTTTGGCTGCCATGCGTGACAGAACCCTTCTAACCAGTATATATATATATATACCAAATCATATAGGTACCCATATACATACATATCCAACCACAACGAGGCCTCATCAAGGGTCTCAAGGCTTTGCCCGTCTCCATCCCTATCCAGGGTCCATTGCATGATCCCCCTGTTACAAGCATCATATCCTTCCCAGACCAGCGGCCTTGGGCAAACAGGGTAGTTGATTTTGAAGGGACCCTAACCCATGGACCAGTGGTCTACATGCCCCTCCAAAATGAGTAACCATCCAAACCTGGTATTAAAAGAGTCTGCCCAAAACCATGTAAAGAAGCAAAACACACCTATCTGCGGTTGGACTGTCCTCGCAAGCAGGGGCTGACAGAATTTCGGCACACCTCGCACATATGCCTTCCCACTTGCCATACCTTTGGAGACATTCCGCGCCCAGGATGCGACAACATTGCAGTACCCTCCAGTCATCTGAGCCAATTAAAATTACCCAACAGTAATTCACAACCCACAAATCACGAATCCGCAATGATCATGGCGACTCCCTCGTTTTGTCAATCCGAATCAGACAAGGCGCATCTTTGTCGAACTTGATGTTGGGAGCAGCGGCAGCCACCATGGACCTGCGCACTGCGCCAAGTCTGGTCGGTCTGCTATTTTGTACACATAATTGCCCTTTAGGTTTCCTTTTGAGAAAATAGACGACCCCAGCTCCCACATCTTTATCTGTGCAATGGTTTATCTGTGCATTGGTCATTTTTCTTCTGATAATTATACACACGAATCCTGCATGTGCACCGATTAACTGGTTGGTTTCTTGTTGGAAGCAGGTTCCATGCAATTCCACTCGCCCGCGGGTCGTGAAAGGATCATCGCGATTTGGGGCTCTGGCACAGTGACCTGCTCATCCCGACCCAGGATTCTGAACCTCGGCCGGGCGTACTTTCAGAGCCGCAACATCTAGAATCTAGAATGGGGTTGTGGGCTTTAAAACAATATTTAGTCATGATCAGGAGTAAGCTATTAGCAATCACTTGGCCCCATATACGACCCCTGCGAAATGAGCGCTTCTCCAAACTGGAAATCCACACAATGTTTAGTTTCCCCCTGCTTTCCCTCCAACAGAATCACCAAACACAGCACCCTCAACAAAAGATTTCTCCGAACAGTCGAATGGAAGCTCAACGCCGACCGAAAGCAAAATGACACTGCACTGAAATGAAGGAGCAGCTCCTGGGCGCCTTTGCCGGGAGCCCTGGAAAGCACCTGACCAACTCCCCGAGAAGCAACTGCAACGGCCAAACCCCACCGGAGAGCACGGAGAGCACGGAGAGCAAAGGTGCTGTGTTGATAGGCCAGGGGATGTGTGCTAAAAACAAACAAATAGATGTTGAAGTGAAACCAACAGTAACACATGATTGCCCAATAGCCAGTAGAAGATGGACACACTTATCTGGTAGAGCTTTTTAAAGAATACCCCTCTCTGAAAAAACGACAAATAAGGGGCGTAGCCCATTGGGCAACGGGGAACAAAAAATCAGCTCTGCGTGTTGTGGGCTCTGTGCTGCGCTTTTAGGTTTGACTGCCACAGGGTGCAAAAGAGGTTGTTGCTTGTGCTCAGTGTCGAAACTGCCATTTCCAAAAGGTGGAAAAGGTTGACGATCACTTCAACGAGCCACCAAAACCAAGTCAGCCACGCATGATTCGTCTCATCCAAGCAGCTGCCAACCACTTCCAGAATCATGTGCTGGCGCAGTACTGTTCTTTGGAGACTTAGTTTGCTGCCAGCTTGCAAGTGGGGCCTTGCAAACGCACCGGACCAAAACTGCCTTTTGTATGGTGAGAACAACTCCTTTCATTCCGCGGGATAGTGTAGGCCAGTCTCAACCTCACTCTCAACTGGATGCATCGAAATGCAGGTCCTGCCGAAGAGCCGACACACAGAAACTTGGCTCCCGGCCCATCCTCCAAACCACCACGGCCGATCACCAAGCTGGAGGTGTAGAGGACATCGCAGAATTTCCTCAGGATTACGTTGCCGCTGAGTCGACCCTCTTGTCCCCACTTGCAGAAAGCAAGAAGGCCATAGACTAGAGGATTTTGCACAGTGCCTTCTGCACACCCTGGCAGGGGGCGATTGGCAGTCTCCTTGGACTGGAAACTCTGGCCGTGTGCAGGGGTCTTGACTGGAAGCAGCCTCAATTCCTGTCACGCACATGCTCAGGCCGCTTCAAGAAATCCGATTTCACGAAATGGAAGGGCGCTTCTGACACTCTGGCGTTATTTGAACTTGAGGGGTGGCTGCGCGGTCCAGGCAGTAAAACACATATGCATCTGATCCTCTTGTCTTCTTACTTCCCTTGCGTCCGGCAACGCATGCAGCCGGAGTGGGTAGCACAATTGCGGCGTGTCCCCTTGACATGCAAAGGTAATCAACAGGAACATGGTGCGACTCTCGCTGGGCTGCTTTGGATTGAAGGAACATGCATTGTTTTTTTGGGGGGACCACAGGATTCCTTCACTACATTTTGCATGTGCCACAAACTCAATTCAAACGGGCAACCAACAGGATAATGCTTCAAGCCCCGAAAAGGCGGCTACGACAAACTTGCTTGCTCAGTAGCCCTGGCAGCAGATACGACATTCTGTCTTAGTTGGTCTACGAATGTACCTGAAAGGAACAAGCCCACCCACCCATTGTTCTTGGCAGTTCTTGACGAGCGAGTGTGTTTCTGTTGGCTGCATTTTCAGGAACACTCACCAACACAAGCACAACCAAATGGACACGGAACACCCACCTTTATTTGGTTAAAAAAAAATAAATAAAAAATGAAAGGAACCACCGAAGGAACCAGCAATGATCAGGCCAACGCATTTGTTGGTCTGTCCAGAGGAACACCAACGCTCCCGTCCTGTTGAACTTAATTTGACACCAACAGACTGGGCAAGGGACACCCACCCGTTTTCTGCTGGCTTTTGTGGAAAAGACACCGCCAACCAAGAAAGCCAAGGAAAGCGAGACAAAGGGAACCCATCGAGGACCCCCCCTGACCAGAGAAGGTCAAGAGACTCGACAACACGACCAGGATAACCAATTCGTTTTTGTCTCGATTAATGTTGCGGGCAACAAGGACCGCACAGCTGGACAGCGGAAACCCATGTTTTCGGTTTGGCAAAACCTTGAATGAACTCCCGCCAACAACAAAGGATCTCAAACCAAACCTGAAAAGTGCAACCAGTCCTCTTTGCTGGATGACAAGTGTTGTTCCAAGGGTGCTTGAGTGTTGGCAGTCTAGGAATTCGGAGCACTGAACCAACAAAGCAGCTAACCCCGCTCAAAAGAACCAGACCGGACCCAAAGCCCAGACCTCCAAAGGGCGCCATTTTTGACCCTTGATTTGGGGAATCCACTGGAGGCCTGGGCTTAGGAGAAAGCCTCCAGAGGATTCCCTCCGCACAAGGAGATATGGGCACCGGTCTGGGAAAGAGCCTTCACAAGAGACCGCAAGTCACATGAGTCCGGCGCTCGGGCTTGTCCGGCGATTTGCAGGTGGGAGGTCCGAAGGGGTAGAGGCCTCAGCTGGACCGCCTGAATGGTTTCAAAGAAAAGCCACAAAACCCAAAGGAGTCAACCACACATGACACATGGTTTCTGGTGGGATGGTGCTTAGAAGCAAAAGGAACCCCATGCGTTCCCTATTTTAGGCATACCCATCCATTCTTCTCATTCGCGCCTTCAGATTTTCTCATTGAATCACAGCTCTTGACGTACTTGCACACCAATGGAACTCTGTGCCGTGCTACTCTTGGCGGAAAAGGAAATACGGACACCATACTTGTAGGTCAGAGAATTCACACACTGGGAGTACAGGATCCAGTTTCAGAGTCCATCGCCATCGCACCTCAACCTGGCATCAGGACATTTTACTTTGTTGGCCCAGAGATTCGCTTTCAAAGACCTTGGAATTGGCCATTCGCTTTCTTTCAGCCATGGAGGGGTGGGAGGTGGGGGGTGGGGGGGTGGGGAAGGGCTCAGGGGCCCTCCAGTGGCTCTGACGCTCATTTGGGCTAAGGCCCACCTCAAGAGATACCCAAGACAAAGCCATTTACGAGTGGCAAGCGTTGATAGTGAGCGACTAGTTGACTTAGGGGCGGCCCACTTAACCCGCCCTGCAAACGGAGTCCCTAGTTCTGTTTCGGGTGCCAATAAAACCGGCAAACAAAGAACATTGATACATGATAGAATCGTTCCCCGACCTGAAATCAGGCACCCCCAAGAATCGATCCTGAATGATCGGAAAAGTTTTTGTACCCGCGCGCTGTCCCTACTATTCACTCAGATGTGTGAACTTGTGGCTTGACTTGAGCGTGTCTGAGCCCAAATTTGGAATTAACTCTTTCCAGGTTCCATGGAACATCCAGTTTCTAAACTTCCCAACCTCTGGGCTGTTTGCAAAACACCGTGTTCTTTGCACCTAAAAAGAAGAACATCAAACAGAAGAAACCAACAAACAACTCAAAAGAAGTCCTTTCAAAAAGACGACTTGGATTTGTCTTACAGAGGAACCTCTCCTTAGTTCTCCTTTCAAACAACTCCAAACAGGGATTCTCCGAAAAGCGACAGAAGGACTCCAAACATTTCCCTCGCAGCTTACTGCCAAGAACAGCGGCCGCTCTTCTGCGCATTGATCAGCGAGGAGTAGAGCAATGGCATACGCCTGGCTCAGGATCCAGTTCTTGTTGACCATCAGATTTTGGGGGACCTATAAACCAAATCAAAAAGGATCACACAGGGTTGGGGCTTCAATCTCTATGACTACATACTACTTTGACTCATTTATAGGAGCTTTGTTTGGTATGTACTTCCCAAATCAAAGCTGATCAATCTACTGGGTTCCATTGATACAATGTCACTTGGGAGGTCCAGAAAACAGGGCAAGTTCAAGGAGCCCCGCAAGCGTCATGGCCTGCGAACAGGAATCGAGCCCCCAAACCAGTTCCCAATTGGGGGTCGGGGGGTGGGGGAGTCGCAAAATGTAAGCTGATGATTGCTGGAGGGGCAGACGTGGCGCATGCGCAGAGGCTTTTGAAGGCATTGGGGATGGGGCAAGTTCATGAAATTGCAACTTGGTTATGTGCCAGGTACCTTGCTGATAGGTCCACCAGCGTCCAAAATGCAATCTTACATTTTGGCACGTCTCCCGAAGAAAATGTAAACTTACACTTTTAGGTGCCAAACCCCAGAAAATGCAAATTACATTTTCAGACGCCTTAACGGGGGATGTTGGGAATGGTTTGAGGCCGTGTATCCTCTATCCTGAACCGAGAGACTTCTCAAGGTAACAAATAATCCTGGAAATCGAGGGAGATGTCGCAAGTTGCTTTCTTGAGAATGCTTCTTGGCATCTCCCTCACCATAGGTGCTTACCTCTCCCACACCAGCCGTTTCCAAAGTGTCCCATATCCTGAGATTTATGCGGTACAAAGAAAGGGATGGGGAAGGCGGGACAACGAAGGAGAGCCATCACTTATCTTTTTTCCCTTTCTCTGGTACTGCTTTCATTGTTTGGTCTGTTGGGGAAGGTAAAGGCACATTGAAGAGATAAGAGATGGGGTGAACAAGTGGAAAGGACGAAGCGAGTAAACGGCCACGGGTCCTTGTTGACGCGAGTGCCCATGCAAGTTTTTTCAGCTTGTGCCAGAGACCACAAAGTAGGTTGCGGGCGGAAAACGACTGAGCTCCCCTTGGAGTGCCCCTTGGGCACCAATCCGCAGGTCAAGGTTCCGAAGGAGGTTTGGAATCTTCCAATGGAGCAAGTGCCCCATCCAACAGAATCGGACCTGCCCAGCCACATTCACCAAGCTGATGCTAATTTTTACTTGCTCTTCTCCTCTGGACCTCATCTCGAGCACTTGAAGCCATCAACTAGCTGAGCACCTTTTTGCAAGGAAGCCTTCCTGATATCAAGCAACTTCGAGTAAGATTGCCCAAGTTTCCTGATGGATCTAAACACCCCAAGGTAGGCTTAACACCATGGGTTGCTGATTTCAATGAACTCCCTGGGTTTAGGCTCTGTTCAAACATGAAACCCTGCCATAGTACAAACAGAGCAGCACTCGGAAAGAAAAGGATCTTGTGGCAACTGAGCTACGTGCCCGTCAACACTTTGAGGTTCATCAACCCCGTGACTCAAACTCATTGAGGATTGTGGGCATCAAGAAAGCAGGGGAGCATGGATCGCAAACCGAGGGCACTGATACTCCACCATCTAAACTGCCGGCGAAGCGGGCCTGCAAAGATCCTCTTCCTGCGCTGAGGCGCCATGCTTGTAGCCGCCACCTTCGAATTTAGTGTGGCTGTTGAACCGCACTTAGCCGTGGTTCATTTGGGCATGCCTTTGTTAACTAGGCAAAGGTTAGACACCTCCTTCAATTGACATTCAGGTTTTCCTGCAAACCGACCCTGGATGGCAAAGGAAGGGGCAGAAAGTACTTTCCAATCTGCAGCCCCATCCTCCGAAGTGGGAACAGGGGACCTCTGCACGAATTCACTAAATGGCGGATGCGGCTAGCTTTGACACACACACACACACACACACAGGCTTTGATGGCTGGCTTTTGATGAGCGTTAGTATATAGCTGGTGACCTTTCGCAGAAATTGTGATGCTGACCTCTGATTAAGCCAACCTCTGTTGCTTGTGAGGCCCAGGAACAAAACCGGAATCTCCTCCAACCGACTGCTACCCAGAAGAACCTGGGGCTTTCTACTTGGATTTTGATTACATCTTCTGAACGAAAACGACTAAACTTCCCAAGAAAGGAACCTGCATCAGTTGTGTGGTCGTAAATCCTAGGGTCGCTATACTTCGCCCCAAAGAACTTGGGGGGCAGGCGTTGAAACCATCATGCTCATGATTGACAGGGATGTGTTGTTCCTTGAAGTAGTATCCTTCATCCATCATGGATGTAAACACCTGCCAATCCAATTCTGTTCCCAGGGTTCCAGGGAACAACTATATGGCTGGGTAGACCAGCCCAGCCACTCGTACCGTAATTTATGTGTTCATCTCGTTTTTAGTGAGTCCCGATCGCTTTCCAGGTTGTAGTATTTTGGACGGGTATCATCATGTGTATCTTCTGTATGTCCTTGCGTATTATTCTCCAAGTAATTTCTAAAGGACACTGTAACTATGATTCGCTCGTTCAAATTGCATCATTGAACATTTTGACTCGTCTGGAGGCTCAAAGTTGAACGCTTCTCGGAGATCTTGCGCTAGTCAGTTTGTTGAGCATTGATGCTCTTTCAACATTACCTTCTCAGAATGCGCGGATCTGTTGATTGACGCGATGGGATTGCAATCTTGCAGACGCCGTCCCTGAAACGCGCGGAATTGTCCTTGAACAAGACAATCCGATCAACAAGTTCCCGAAGGTGTCGGACAAGCCACGGTGTGTGGCCTTGCTTCCCTCGACCAACCCCGAGCTCCAACCACGATAAACCCATCCGCTATCAAAAACAATCAAACACGCCTATAACGCTCTGACCCTAGCAATTTGATGCAATTGTAAGCAATTATGCGAGCTCGGTGTTTCTTTGTCAAATGCCAGTTTGTTACACTGTCCAGCTGAAAGCGCATTCCCTGCGCACATGACCCGAAAGGTTGCTATTGTTCATATCAGGCTATGAACAGGGCTATCCGGGTGCTGGGGTCTGGGCAAAAACACTCATATCCATCCCCAAGAGCAACAGCTATCTGGGCTGCCGGCCCACATCTTTGCCGTTGGCGAAGTTCAGGGCGCACACCTCTTTTGACAGGTGCAGATGGCCGAAGGGAAAATCATCGGAACCCTTTTGTCTGGTGCCCCTAAAGGCAGCATGCCTACGCGCCTTCCCGTGTTTGCTTCAGACAGGGGTCGCTGATTCCCTCTTCAACAGTGGGAGATTTGCTGGCATGTTCCTCGGCAATTTCCTACTCCTCCCATCCGTGTGACAATACGGGCTGGTCCCAAAATAAGGGAACCCAAATGAATGGTGTCCTTTTCTGTTCCCCTGAAATCCACATGCACACTATACTCTCAAGCACACACACACACACCCACCTGTACAATGTAAATGTGCGAATACATTCAAAATAAACTGGATACATCAATCAATGATAATATTATGTATATATATATAATATACATATGATGCAGATTGATATGTGAGGACCAAAGCAGCCGTGGAAGTGAGTGCCAAGTCCTGCTTCATTAATCTGCTTGTTTCTTGCATGGGTTGCTGCATGTCAAAACCCTTGCGAACAGCGTCGACATACTATTGTTGCACATGCGGTTGGTGCGGAGAATTAGACGCTACTGCTACTGCCACTGCTGATATGACTGTTGCTGTCTGATGCGGCGCCGGCATCTACAGCTTCAGAGAAGCAACAGAGCAGCTTTAGCGCATATCAATCATGTTCACAGGGATTCTTGGCCGGACCTTACGTACACACTAGTATTGCATTTTATCAGGGGTCCCCTTGGCCACTCACAGAAGTCAGAGGTTTCTGAATTTCCTAAAATCAACGTTGATCAATCTAGCGGTGAGTTTGATGATTCAGGGCTAGGTTGAGGGACACCTACAATTCCCTTGGCTTCCTTTTGGTTCCCTTCGAGTCAAGACCATCCAAGAAGAGGGGTTCCCATGTTGTTCTTCGAAGTGCACCCCAAGATCAATTGCTAGACGGGAGTTGATTTAGAACCCGAATGAGTTTGCTTGCGAACATCCACATTTGCACACTGGCCACACCCCTCGCATCAAATGCTTCAAGGCCAAGGTGCCCAATTGCCCCTCTCGCGGGCCAGCATCATACACGCCTCCGCCGTGTCCATCCTGAGCTCTCAACCACCGGGTGGCCGCCATGGTTAGACATGTTTGATATGTTTGGAGCAATCTCTTGTCTCCCTCTGAAGCAGACAGAACTTGCACTAACTGCTGCCGCACTTCAAAACCTGAATTTCAGGAATGCCCATGGGAACTTCGTCACATGTGGAATTGCTCGTTTTGCTGCGGTCCTGTGCGCTTGCTTCAATTAGTGCATATTCATATTGCCCTAATCTGAGTAGATCAAATAGCTGAAGAAAACATAAACTAAGGGCTCCGTATCATGTCATGGGACCGAGATAGCAACCAAAACCCTTGGCGACGTCGCGACGCGCTTTGCCCAGACTCATTCACACACTTGACCCAGACCTTCGGTGGGTTTCCACTGAAAACAGCGTGCTTCTTTGGTCGACTTTAAAAAGAACTGCCCCCCAGGCCACCACTGGAGGTCTGGGCTAAATTCAACAATTGGGAAAGAACCGTCAGCATTGGCCCCAGCCCAGAAAACTGCGCACACTGTGAAAGAAAGAGCCCAACATGAGATGTCTACGTATGAGAGTTGTCCCGTTTGCAGCTACGCCCCACGTTTGGATGGAGAATCCGACGATTTTGCAGCTCCCTGAAAGAAAGGATGGGAAGAAAGAAACAAAGAAACAAACACATAAATAAATCAAGGCATAAAGAAAGAACGACAGAAAGAAAGGAACAAAGAAGAAACACAAAAGACAGAGAGAAAGCAAGAAAGCAAGAAATCAAGCAAGCAAGTAAGCAAGCAAGCCAGCAAGCCAGCAAGCAAGCAAGAACGACCACACAAAAGAAAGACATAACGACATAAACAAAGAGAAAAATGACGAAACCATAAGACAACTCTGGGGGTAACTTCCAGATGCTTGCCAGCAAGCATGCAAACCCTTTGGAGAGGGTTGGTTGGCTTTGGAAACAAACGGCTGTTGACAAGAGCAGGAAAAAAACACAGAGTCAGAGTTATGATCAATGCAAACATTATGGTCATTTGGATTTGGCCCCATCATGTCCAGGGTTAAGTACTGAATTAGACACAACACATAGGTTTATGCTCAAAATGGCTCGAAGCATTGAACCGGTAGTCCCCCAAGCTGTGCCCGGCCAAGGCGCTTCGAGAACGAGATGACAGGCACTGAGTCGCCGCGCTTGACCCTGGATCAGGCAAGATCTGTAAACCATGGAAGATATCCGGAAAGCCGGAAACCGATAACCCTCCAAGTTGGGAGAAAGGCAAGACAAGGTGGTTCAAACAGAAAAAGGTAAGGGATGGCAAGAGCCTTCCCTAAGATCGGGTCAGGCCCATCTGCAAACCAACATGTTCGCAGCTCCGGATGTTTCTCGAAGGTTGCCTTTAGCCTCATCTTTGTCCGGCTCAGCCGCTTGAAATACCTGTAACTTCCAGTGTCCAGGGAGAAGAACAAACGCCCTTTCATAAACGGCCGCCTCTGCAGAAGCTACGAATGCAAAAAAAACTATCAGTGTTTACTCCCAAGCACACTCATCTGTTAATATGAAACCTAGCATCATTCTATTTAAAATATTGATGTGGAAGCCACTAACGCCTACGTTGTGATGCAGCGTTGTGTGCGGCGGAGGGGTGAGAGCTCCTCCGTGAAGCGCATTGGTCATGTTCCCGTGAACTCTAGGAGCCTTCCTTGCGGGCCAACTGCCATGCCTAGACAAGAAATCCTGTCCCACACATTGCAACGTGATCTAGCTCAACAGCTTGCCACTCTCATTTGCCCAAAGGACCTGGATATGAAAGTTGTATTGGAGACTTGACTAAGCATGGAACATCATGGGACAACTAAAACGTCGGTCAGGTCGGCTTTGTGAAAGTGAGCAGTAATTCTCCTTGCCTCTTGCACTCGTCATGACCTCAGCCGTGCCAGGAGGAAGTTAGACTGTGCTTTCTGCGAATCTATCTCTGCAATTTTAGGAAAAATGCAATTATTGGCGCCACCACGCTACTAAATCGTTAATTTCGGGTCGCCCTAGCAACGATACCTCGCAGCCCGCCCGCTCTTTTCGGCCAAAGCAACCAACAGTTTACAAGCTCCGAAAAGTTGCTTTTGCGGGATTCCGGCCCCTGGCGGCTTGCAGCGTGACCCATTTTCGAAGCTGGGAGCGGGTTGCCGGCTTTAATCGTGCAGAAACAGAACCGACCTGAAACCACGCCTTTTTGCCTTGAGGCGGAGTCGTGGGTGAGAGGTCAGCAAAAAGCTGCGAACAACTTCTTGAGAGGCTTAAGTTCAAGGGAATATTTTGTCACATCCAAGTGGACTGTGTTCAGAACTTTTAAGTTCCTCTTCAACAGGTATGGAGTTATCCATGATTGCCCGAACACTGACACCCGGCCTTAACATGAAGAAAGTGAACGTAGCTGAGCTTCGTGGAGAAACTACTTGACGCGGATCGCCGCAGCCAAACCAAAATATCTTATTGGCTCTGTCTTTGTTGTGAACTAATCCCAGAGTCATGCTGCGAACGGCCACGGAGCACAAGGGCTCTTTAAAAAACAAACCTACAAGGGGATTTTCAAAATCAGCCGGTAAAAGGGTGTCTTTAATTGGTCAAATTCTAATCTTTAAGGATTCCTACTGTAGGGGACCAAACGGTAAACCCACGAGTGCTGAGGCTTCGGCTCACAGGGACAGTCCGTGGGATGCGCCCGAAGATTTCCCGGCGCTCGTAGTTGTCCTCAGCCACCTTCAAACTTTGGACAAGGAATAGGACACTTCTCTATATGCTCCCCTTGGGACACCTTAGCTGCCTCCGAGGCGATCCCTCACTCCTCAACTTTCACCTCCAAGGGGAAAATGGGGAATCTGGCAAGTATACAAGCACTACATAGCCACTATATGAGGGGTATATATATATATAGCACAATATATATTTATGGTTTACTCCTCTCTCTGTCACTCTCTCTCTCTCTCTCTCTCTCTCTCTCTCTCTCCACAATTTCCAGGGGACACCTGGCCACGGGCCAGTGGTCAACCTCCCAGAACCAAAAGCTAAAGCCATTGACCTCTGAAAGTGTGCAGCTAGGCAAATATCCTGCAAGTGCAGCCCATGCAAAACTTCATGTCTGGCAACTGGGCGTTGCATGTTGGCAACAAGCTCCTTCCTCCTTTCGAGCTATACATGGGTTGTACACATGGGAGCCATGCGGCTCCAACTATATGGGCTATACCTTCAGCAATTCATGACAACACTCCTTGATCCAAAGCAAACATGTTTGATGGCATCATATGAGAAACAAACAGGCCAATTGGGTAGTCCGCCCTTTCCCTCTCTCGGGCCTCCCCCAAATGAATCGTAGACTTCCAGGAATATTCTGAGTTTCGGCCTGATTCAGCTGGAGCTTCCTGCTGAGATAGGATTTGGGTGTCCTTTCAATTTGGTGCTGCTGGAACTAGTACTTCTGGGTTGAGTTTCCATCTGTTTTGGCATTGCTGGTTCTGAGTCTGCATCTTATTTGTCGTAGTATTGCTGGGTTGAGCTCCCTTTCTATTCTTGGGAAGCTGCAACAAATCAGTGTTTGGGGGGATTGACCTATAGGCTTTTCTCCTCAAGTAGTTCCCTTGGCGGAATGGGGGTTGAGAGTTGTTCGAACATTGTAATTTTGACTATCCCTTTGATCCGTATCACTTGAATTGTGTTATGTGTTGTTGTCATTGTTGAAAGGGATGTGAACCGTCTTGGGGCAAATCATGTTAATTTGCTTGGATATTTTACTATATATTCCGAACTGGACATTGCCAACTGTTTTCCCGTGGTCCCTTCATGGGAGCAGCCCTTTCATGGAGATTCAGTTCGGGAGCCCAAAGAATGGGGATGAACATCAGGCCCTCAAAGTTTTCAGCAAGCCCAGGAGGATTGCTGACCTGTACGGAGTTTGGAGATCCTTTTCCAACTGACTTGGAAACCAAGCAAGCAACCCTGCATGCTTAGGTCTTCTGTGGAGGCACCCCTGTAGATTCCATGCTGATTCTCAGGGGAATACTGAGGTCAAGCTTCTGAACCGGCTTGCTATCCATCAGTTAGGAGAGTACTATTCTTGCAAAGTTATGTACCATTTCCCTTGAAGGTCTGCCATGTTTGCCTTTGGAATCCAGTTCATGATGCCCAACATGACCTCAATCATAAGAATTGGTCTATGCTCAATTCCGGGATGAACAATAGAGAGGAAACAAAGGATAAATAGAAAGAGAATAGACGCTCCTGTCGCTTTGCATTTCTTGTAAATAGACTTTTTCAAAGATAGACATGCAAGCATGATAAAGTAAAAGAAAAGCACAACATGTGCCCTCATCCGAGTTGTGGAACTGCTATAAGCTAGAATGTAGCAATACTAAATTAAGCGGAAAGTCAAATTTCATCTCAGCAGCACGCTCCAGCAAAATGCACAAATCTTGGAACTCAATAGTGGTCCCAGCCTGCTCCAGCAATACTACCCAATGCTAAACGAGATACAAACTGTCCTTTTTCAGACCCTCGCATTCGAACGCACGCCCATCAGGCGAGGGTTTCCAAGGAGAGCGACCACACTAGAGGGCTGTTGGCGCCTTGGTGAATGCAGGTGCAAAAGGAGTCTGCCTCATCGTCGCGCAATACGTTGCACAATGGTGTGCTCTCGGCGTGGCGTTGAGATGTAGGCACCGCACGTTGCACTCTTCACGTGCTCCGTACTTCTGAGCACGTCACATACTCTCCGCTAGACATTCGTGCGGTCCCACGAGCCTGCGCCTTCTCGCGTACTTCTTGTGTGAAAGGATCGCCGCGCGCCCGCTCGTGGTCAAGATGTTCTGCACCAGTACCTTCCTGGGAGGCCTCTCCGGAAAATTTCCACGACCCTTTCCGGCTTTTTAGATTGGCGGGCCAGGGCTTGAAGACGAAGAGATGCCCCAAGGATGCAACAGGAACGCAGCGACACAGGGCGGAGCCGGTGTCAAATGAAAGCATTTCGGCCGGCAACTCCCGCCTGAGCCAGGAGCGCCTTCAGGCTCTTGTAGTCCTTGCTGGCCTCTGGGGAGGGGCGATGGGATGCCTTGGGCTGGGGTGATGCCTACGCTTTGGCTGCAAGAATTGATTTTGAAGACTAACGAAACAAGGGGAAGCTGGTGAAAGCAAACAAGTGAATGTCTTTAAAGCGACTAAGCAGTGTTGCTAGGGCGTAATCCTCTCCTTTGAGTGTCCTGCGCTTCTTCGCCACTTTTGCCATGTATTTCTTACGTTTGCTAGTTGAGCACTCATTGAAGGTCGTTTGATGCGAGGGCCTGCTAGGGAGCACTTCCACACCAAAAACGCATCGCAGCCATCTTCGACTTGACAAAGTGTCCATCGCCCAGGCAGGCGTTTCAGCCACCAACTCTATATCTATATACATACAGAGATAAATAGATAGAAATAGAGAGAGAGAGAGAGAGAGCGAGAGAAAGGGAGAGAGAGAGAGAGAGAGAATCGAACAGCGGCACGCCGCGGCCAGAGCCCCCACGTCCCTCCTGGCATCGCACGGGCGAACAGACCCTTCGTCCTGAAGATCAAGTGGGCGAGAAAACAAAAAGAAGAACAACCGAGCGGAACAGCAAGCCAACCTTTGCCTGGTCGGGCGGCGCTCGTCGCCAACAAAGGGGGATGGTGCCCGCCCATATGGTGGTGGCATCCGGTAAGCTGCGTCCCTGGGCGGGCCATGCCAGAAGCGGCGCCACCACCAAGCAAGGGGTGCGTCCCTGGCTGGGCGGTTCCCTGGCTGGGCAGGCCACGCCAATAAGGGGCCGGCTGCCCCAGTCAGCATAAGCAGCGGGGCGCGCAAGCGCGCCACCCTGCATCCTGGCGGGCCCCGCCATAAGGGCACTGCAAGCCACCCTGCCACAAAGGCGGGACAACCAAGTGCGCCACCCTGCAAGTGGGTTGGCTGCATCCCTGAATCACCCTTGCAAGCCAGCAGCATCCAGAAGGGGCAAGGCTGTCCTGTGACCCATCGGGGATGTCTATATCTATATCTATATCTATATAGATATAAGTACATTTTCAGAAAGGCCTTCATGGGGGGTGGGGTTTTTGAGACACAGGGATTTCCCCCCCCCCCCTTTGCACCTTTCTAAAATAAAATCGAGAAAAACAACATGTCAGACCCTAACCCAGCCAACATGGTTTTATAGGGTCTGCTTTTTTTGGTTCTCTCGAAGTTTTGTGCACTTTTCACAAACAAAAAGAAAACACCTCGAGAAAAAAAATGCCAGACCCTAACTCAGCCAGCGTGGATACTTAGGGTCTGAGTGTTTTTTTGATTTCTCCAGGTTTCTTACACTTTTCGCACAAAAAAACACCTCGAGAACACAGAAAAGCAACAAACATGTCAGACCCTAACTCAGCCAGCAAGGATACATAGGGTCTGATTTTTTTGGGTTTCTCGAGGTTTGCTTGGTTTTTGAGGTTGGGGTCAACAAGAAGGAACAAATATCCGCAGGAAGGAAACATTTGCCATCGTGAGGCCTGGGCATTTCACTTGATAAACGCAACCGAATTCTAGTCATATGAACTGAAAGAAAGAGCCAGCTTGTTCTTCTTTGCCATACTATCCAGATTACAGCAAAAATCTAATTAAAGTCGTAGATACTTGGAGGGGAATTCCATCTAAATTCTGATTCAAAACAGTTAGAAGACACTACCAGCTTGTGTTTCCTTACTAAATTCTATTAATACACATGTCAAATAAAGATCATATTTGGCATTCCCATTTAGATTGCGATGCAATTCCGGTTTACAATATACTTAAAATAAGCAAAACACATATATACCTAAATTCTACTTGAAAGCATATTTGGATAAGACCCCAATACACATCTAAAACTAACAAATAAATTCAAGCTTCCAATTAACTTCCAATTGGAACCCTGCTTGGAAGGGAAGTGCTGACTAATATCTAATTCAAGAAAATGAAGTGAAGCCTGATCGAAATCCAATTTGAATGTAAGCAAAGCCTCACAATGTAAACATTGTGAACAAATTGCAATGCAATCAGCTTTTTTCCATGGGTTTTCTCCTTGTTTCAGAGGCTTGCATTGCAAATTAGAAGAAACAACAAGCTTCTCTTTCCTCATTAGATTCCCAATTAAAATCCTACTTGGGAAGGGAAACCTATTTAAATTCCAATTCAACATACTGTTAACTTGAAGGCTAATCGAGATATGGTTCAACCGAAAGCGGTGCAATCTAAAACTTGCAAACCAACAGAACTGACATTGCATTTCCTTTGCGTTTCCGTTGGTTTGTCTCTCCTTCTAAGGGGCAGGCAATAAACGACCAACTTGTCTTCCATATAGGATTCTATTTGACTTCTAACTCAGTTCTAATGCTAAACAGTGCAACAGGAATGACAAGACAAATGCTAATAATTTGCAGCTACACTGGTAATAGACAAGACACTTTTGGCAACTTGCCTTTTCTTCAACACTGTCTGATAGTGCAAACTTGCAACTGACAAGCAATTATGGGCCAATTTTCAAGGTCCAATCGTTTGATGAAGCCTGCTTGAAACAGACAAGCAATTTGGGCACAACATCCAAGGTCCACAGCACTAAAAGTGCATCGCGCGCATACTGTTGAATCTCAATCGGCCTCAATGCGCGTAATTCTCACTTGCTTGTGGGGTTTTAACTTGGTGCATTTTATGGGTTTCACCCCCCCCCCCATGAGGGGATGCTCTCTATATTTGGCACATGTACGAATATATCTATACATGTATGCATTCACCCACGTGCGGGAAAGATACCATATATGGAGCCTCAAGACAGGGCACATGCAAAACCAGTGCTTGCTTGTCAGCTTCCAAGCTAGTTCTTGACCGTGAAACCCACCACGCAAGAAAAGCACCTGCAGCTCAATTTTTCATTAACTGTTTTCAACTGACACTGCTTGCGTTTCTCGGCGGGTTCCCAGGAGGACGCAACTCGTTGTTACCCAAGTGCAACTGCACGCCTGACTAAACCTCGATGCACCGAAGGAAACAAGGCAACCCGCCCAGCCCGAACTTACCCAACAACCGCGAGCCAGCACGGGTCATCCATACTGCATCATGTGAAGAAGCCAAGGAGATCCAGATGCAAACGCTTAGGATATGCTGCGGCACGGGAAGTATCAACGGATGAAACCTCTTCCACTTCAACCCACTGCGCTATAAGGCCAGACCCGCGTAGCCACCACGTGAGCACTTGCAAGCCGCACCAAACCTGGTCACTCCATAAGGGACAGGTGCATAACGAACCTGGCTGATCCTGTCAGTAGCCATTCGTTTATCTCAAAGATTAAGTTCACGGAATGGCTCATTAAAGCAGCTATAGTTCATATGGTGCAGCAGTTTCACTTTCATTACACAGTTGGAGCTTTCACTCGAATACTCGCACCTCTGTTGGAGTGAGACTCCTTGGTCCGTGTTTCAAGACGGGTGAATGAAAAGCATTTTGTCAGGCATCTTGAGTCACATGGAGCCGCTGGCTTGGGCCTGTGGCTTGTTGCAACCTGACATACCTCCAAGAAAGGAACCTCCAGCGTGAGGCAAAGGTCGTGCTTCACTTTGCCACATGTTGCCAGCAAAAAGGGGCCTGCAAGTGGCCAGGCTAGGAGGCGTCTAGACCAAATAACCTCCAGGATGCAAGGTTGTCCTTTGCCACATTTATTGAAACAAGTATTAACCACCACTTCTACATCCAGGCGCCAGGGCGCCCACTGCTTCCTTTTTGAACAAGACGCATGGGTCACCGCGCTATTGAAGCGACTGCCGGAACACGCCTTGTACTGGGCCACCTTTTGGGCGAAAGACACCTCAGAGCGTGGGGGGTTGGCAGTCTTGTGGGGCTCACAGAGCTCTAAGGGCCAGAAATCACGAACCCTTGAGGCAATTCTTTGAATGGGGAAAAGGATTATCTCTTTGCCGCTGGTCCATTGGAAGATCCTTGATAGATAGTTGCCGACAGGTCATTTCCCAAACAGTGGACATATTAAAGAGCAAACTAGGGCAATTCAGCAAATTGAGGGAAGTGCTGTTGATGCCTCAGACATTTACACATAAATGTAGCCAAACCGCCAAGGGAGATGCTAAGACCAACAGCATGATTCTCCGCTGGTAGCGTGTGGGGAAACGATGGCCTTCAATGCTCAAGAGCACATGTCAATATGTGCCATATGGGTCATTCCCTCCTAAATGCTTACTCTCATCTTATTCTCCTATCCCCACAGATTCGATTCAATGGACAGAATTTCCTTTGTAAACAACAGCCACGCTGAACTGTGGCAGAAACTCTTCCTCATCGTGTTCCGTCTCTTTCTCTCTCTCTCTCTCTTGCTAGTTGGATGGGCTAGCTAGTTTATGTAGTTCTCAAATTGATGATCCTTTCAATTCAGGTACATGCTACATCTGGATGTTTTCGGCTATCCCATTGGAAGGAACATAGTCCAACCCCAAGCCTCACACTTGAGCATGCCTGGCAGCCTTTCATAAGAAGGGCTTGGAAAGGGGTGAACGCCATGGATTCTCCCATAGGGACCCTCCATCATAGTGCCCAGTTGGTGAGGTTGCCATGAATTGCCCACCAAGCGAACCCCCCCAGCTTCGTCTAGATTCTCCAGACCAGCCCTTTAAGAAGTACGGACTACGCAAAACCTGATCTTTGCTTTGAATGGCCGACAGCCAAACACACGCACCATTTGGTCCAAGCAGCATGATCCCAATCCCTTCCCGGCATGGCGTCAAAAGCTGATGAGAGGATCTTGGACAAAGGTGCTGCAACTGACAACTCCACATAGACTGACAAATTGTGGATTTAAGTAATTCGTGGAGTTGTTCATACAGTTTTGCTCAGTAGAACATGCGTGGCTTGTCACTGGCCATGGTCTCTTGCAAGGCTGCCTGGTTGGCTGGGGTCAAAAATGCGCGTCGCAAGCTGGGCGAAGCATACTCAGTAAGGTGTCAGAACCGGGGGAACCTATTGTAGCCCGAAAGAGGAAAGTAACACATCCGAGCTGCAGCTTTGGACGGGGCTGGAGGTTTGTTACGCATTTCACGCAGGGTTCGCCTGTATCAGAATCAGGGCGTACTCTTGACGGCTCCGAATCACACGCTGGCATGTCATCAAACAAGTGCAGTGATTCCAGGTTTCTTGAGAAAGCCCGCGACAAATCCAGCTGTTGACGACTCGATTCCGAAATGAGAACGTAAATGGGGATGTCGTCAAAAGTAGGGACCGACCAGGGTGACCCAAATTGGTTCAAACAAATGGGCCGTGGTTCTCTTTGAAAGGAACACAAGAAAGAAGTCTTTCGAACAAGGGGTTGGGCCACCTCTCGACTCCCCAATTAAGGGCCACGTCAAAAGGAGACAACCATGAAGCCACAACTCCTGGACAAGTCCGTAATTTGGACACACGATGAACCAAGGAAGGCCCTGGGTATGGCCGCACAACTGGACCACCAACTGGGAATTGATGCTTTGCCCTGGAAAAGAGCAAGCCCTGGCCGATTGCAACGCAGAAGCAAGGCCATTACTATTGATGACACAAACACCCACGCACACACACACACACACTCACATACACAGAGTTTGTCTTCAAACGGGGGAGCCCCAAAATGGGTGGTCTTGGTCACGCTGTTGAAAGCACAAGCCCCAAAAAGGATACATGTAAAGTCAGCAAAAGACTCGCCCAAATACGCAATGTTCATCTGCAAGCTGCACCAGGTTGGGCGCAAGCCCCTTTCCCCGACCGGCTTTTTTTGCGCTGGGGTCGTACCAATTCGTTAATGTTTGATGTGAGCAGGGAGGCTCGTTTCAGTCAAAGACAACTGCACAAACTTGCCGACTTCTGAGACCTGCGGTACTGAGTATGAGCGCCTGATCAGCGAAAACTCTCTCCCTGACCTTGACACGACTGCGCGGTCGCGAGCGAAAGTAAGCTGCAAGGTCTCATTTTAGAGACTCACAGGTCTGTTGCGGCCTCGGTGCGGTTCTCACTTATTGTCGGACACCACGCAAACCATGACGCTACGCTCGCATGTGGCAAGCTTTGTTTCACTGGCAGCAACCAGTTTGAAGGGACCTTGCAGTTTGGCGGTTTGCAAGAACCCAGAATTGCAAGTCACCTAAATTGTCGGCCAGCTGAGAGTTGTTAATAAGCTCAGGTGATATCCCCAACAGCATGCAGTGCTCTTTTTAGTGCTCGCACCACCTTGCAGCCCTCGTGGAACCCTGGTGGAACCCTGGTGGAACCCTGGTGGAACCCTGGTGGAACCCTGGTGGAACCCTCGTGGAAACTTACCTCAGGGCCGCCCCGGACCACCCCGGAGCCTATCTGGGCTGAGACCCCTGAATAAAAAGCCCAAAGGGATGGAAAAGGCAGACGGTTTGGTTTGGGATCGCCAATGGATGGCAGCAAGCTCAAGCATTTGCGTCTGGGCCCGCAACTTGCTGGCTGACCATTGGCGACATCACCACTTTTCTGTCCCACCTCGTCATCGGCCGTTGCCTCAGGGAGATAGCCCATGCAAGCGTGAGTGGAAGGCTGTCACACTCAAGCAATCAAGCCGAGACCCCCTTCAAGCCGAGACCCCCTTTTTGGGGCTTGCCCAATTTGCTCCAAACACAGGCAGGTGTACTGCAAAGGGCATCTCCACCAGGCACGAAGAAAAATAGGAGGACATCAAACCGGTTACTTTTGGCGTCCCTTTGAAACCAATCGCCAAAAAGGGTTTCCCAAAAAGAAGATGTACGCGTCTGGTCCCACAAGACATTTGGACAAACCACCCGAAACACTTGAATGGACCCAGGCTTCGGATGGTGTTCAAAACAGCACCTGGTGCCCGGAACAGCCCAGCTGAATCTGCAGGGGCAGGGATTGGGGGGTTCCGCCATAGAGCCAGGATCAAAACATTCAAGATTATGCCAACCTGGAATCCGGGCAATTTGCCAAAACTCAATTAATCTGTGTGGCTATACCTTGCTCGGCTTTATTGGACACGGCGACATGTGTGTTTGGTCCTGGTTGTGTCTTGAACATTTAGTGAGCCACAGTGTGCCAAACCCCAACTATGATCAAGAGTATTGGATATGTTAAACGAATCTTAGCTGCATATTTGAACCCCCCTGTATCTCGCGCTTTTCCAAACACTAGGCAAAACTTCGTCTGACAAACTGGTCTTGGAGTGGTGGGCCCATCTTGACGGATCCGGCAAACCATCGAATCGCCAATGCAAAGGTCATGAAACACATCGAAGCTCTACACTGTGTGCGCAAATGGTGCTTGAACATGGGACCCTTCAAAATGGCTTTCCTGTTGGCTTCCATTTACCCTCCCCAAGACTAACATGGAAGCTCCCAGGATTGTCTGCAAAACTTGGTTGCATTTGCAGAGGCCTTCTGGGAGCTTCCATGTTAGTCGGAGGCAGTGTAAACACCAACTAAATTTGGGGGTTCACCATTTTGAGACACCTTTTGGTCGTCCGAGTGGTCTTCTTGTCCAAAACAGTTGGAGGTCGGCAGATCGGAACGGGTCCCCACTCTTGACACGACCAAGTCAGGGTTACTTTACCGTCCTTGTGGGAAAGCAACGGGACCTTTCAAACATGCAAACTTGTTGAAAGAAGGGTCCTTGTTGATTCGCCTGAAAAGTCAAGAGATAAATGCCAGGGCCCCTGCAAAAGGAAAGCAGGGTCTTGCAGGTACCTACCTACGGGAGCTATGTCAGCAGGAAGGAGGAGGAAAGGAACAAGGGAGAGAAGGAGAATTTCTCCCTGTGCCCCCCCCTCCCCCGCCTCGGGCAAGTCATGGTCGCCATTGGAAATCGTCTGCTGAATTCGGTCACCTCAGGCGCTAAAGCTCCATTGAAGCGGCCGCTCCTTACGAATGAAACCATGAGGATGTTGCAAATCAAAACCCTTTGCAAGGTCGCGACAGGCAGAAACCATTCTAACAACAGCCGTTGCAAAGGGTCCGGCCAAAGTTTCTTCAACCACTCACCCTTTTCTGCACAATGCTTAACAAGGCGAACTGAGTGAATGCCTAAATATTAGGGTGTTCAAAGTCATTGATCTTCTAGACCCTCAACTTATTAACAATGCAGCGTTCGAAGTTTAGATTGCGACGGAGGCTTGGGATTCTGACCCACCTCTTCCCGAAAACCTCAGAAAAAGGCTCCAGAGCAGAAAGCTCCTGTCAGGTTCCCTGGCAACTTGGGCGGGGTACCGAAAGCGATTCATGCTCCGTGCCCACAGGGACCCCGGCGCCCGTGAAACGCCTTAGGAGGCCTCGGCGATGCGGAGCGGACGTGCTCAGCCGTGCAGAGCCGACCACAGCTATGATTCTAAAGAGGAACACGCTGAACACGTCAAGGATTGCTAACTTCACAAATATCATAATCAACATGCCGGTGCAAACAAATGAGTGTTTCCCCGAATAGGGCACTAACTCCTTTCTTTCCTCTGAGCATCAAACAAATACTATTGGCCATCTCCCCCAAATATGAGGGAGGCGACTACTGGGGGAACTATGGCTTGGTCCAATCGATGTCATGGGAAGCAAGACATTTTTTTGCGGTTGCTCACCGTTTTGATGGGAGTGCTACCCAAAGCGATGTAAGGATCTACACAGGCGGCACCTACTTGTGACTTGGACTCTCGCCGCACCCTCGAATTGCAATGCTTTGATTGCGGCTGAACTGGGAGAAGCGATCCAAAACTCACTGGCTATCCCCACTTATGGGGCACTTTGCGCTGTTCTTAACGGCGGTTTGCCAATGCAACTGTCCATGATCTTTGGGAGAATCTCTTGTAATACCCTGTTCTCCTCCATCCCGAGGGAAGGATCTTGCGGATCGGAATAAATCAAGCAATCAAAGAGTTCCTGCCACTGCCAATCACATTGGATTTTACCGATTCACCCACCTCATTTTCCAGTGAGTGCAGCCCCCGTTGCATCTCCTCTACAGGAGATGACGATGAATAAGAGCTGCTACTCATGGGGGTGGACACAAAGGTGAACCATCTTGGAGATCCAAGGCTGCGCAAGGCAAGCAATGACCCAATTTTAGAGGGACGCGGAAACCATAGCCCTCCCTCAGTTGCATCCGATGAGTGTCCCTTGTCTTCACATTTGGTTGGTAAACCATTCAAAACCCGCGAGTTGCAAACAAGTTGCTTCTCCAGTAGCCGCAGGAGAGGATTCCTCGAGATCCTCCAGGCCGGACGGCTGGTTTTTCGCAGACAAACTTAGTGGGGTGTTTCCTTAAGTAATCTCAGGGACTCCTTTTTGCTCGCATAGTGACAATGGTGCGCTTTGCAAAGGGCGCCCTTTGCAACACCTTCTTTGACATGGCTGTTCCTTGGCCATTGTCAACTGGGAACCCAGACTTTCCTCCGACTCTGAAACAAAATAGCATATTTATCTCAAGTGGGGAGCCAAAGAAAGGCCAATCACCCGCAGCTCTGTGCTCGAACAAATGCTTGTGCACAAAGCCGCTGAAAACCAATCACACGTTTCCTCAAGTCTCTTTCAAGAGTAGACCCCCACCAACAGCCACAGGGACCCTGAAAGCAGCATAGGTGGGTTAGAGGAGAGTCCCCAGCAAGTCCTAGTATTTTCTTTGCAATCGGTTCCTGGTCTCCAGTCCAACCCTTTGATACCTATGTCCCGGTTATGTCCCATGCAGCTAAGACTTTTCAGACACGGGCATACCAGCATCAGGAAAAGGCTTTGCCGTTGGGCACCCGGTTTTGGAACTATACTTGCGGGCTCTCGGGGAATGGAATGTTGAACACTTTTGATGGCAGGGTCCAAAGGCTTTTCCACACAGCCAGGCATGAAAACATCTATAGTCTAAGCAACCTCCTTTTGGTCCCCCTTTGTAGGGGGGCTAGGGTCTTGTTTAAACGTACTTTGTGCAACCCTGCGAAGGGTGCTTAAAGGCAAACCCGGGTCTCTAGATCTTGACACAAAGCCAGTTCATCCGGGCTGCTTTCTTCCATGCTCCAGGCCAGAATAACAGGCACAAGGACGACTTAGCATGAAGCTGTGTGTTTTGAAGTTTCGCCAAATATAAACCATTTGCAAAACATCCCGACCAACGCGGCAATCAGTGAAAACAACTTTCTCGATTGGAGCTTTTGTGACTCTGTACCTGGAGAACCAGTGGGCTGCTTTCAAAAGGTAGTTCAAACGAACATCGCTCCTTTTTGGTGTCCACAAATAGTAGCCGTGCCCTGTATTACAGTCAGATCTCCTTTGCAGGGGACCCAGCTTTCTGCCCCTTCGTTCGCTTGCAGGAGAGTAAACTTCCCCCTCGCCGCAACCTCACTCGCCTACCCCTTGACCCAACCTTCACTTTCTCCCGATTCACTCGCCTGGGCTCTTGAGTGGCCTCTAAAGTCTGGATGTTCTCCCGGATGGCCGAGCGGAAGTGCAGGAGCCTGCCACGACTTTTTTCCGCAGGACGCACCACGGCCAGGCAATGATTGCTCATCCGGTCATCTAAGCCATAGCCTTGGGCCACCTTTGGGACAAGTTTGGCATATTGCAGCTTGCACTTGTAGGACTGAGATCCAAAATCACTTCGGGGAGACGAGAAGAACAGATCTGCTAGTCGCAATCTATGCAGGATGGCCCCGCAATCACCCTTCTGCCTGGGAGCGTGGCATTTGTCAAGCACCCGCCGCAATTAGATCTTTGCAAGGGATGCTTGGCTTTACATTTTGACGCCCCCCAACCAGCAGAGGCAAATTCAAAGGCACCAATCTACTCTTGTCCTGAGACAGAGCATGGAGGGATTGCGAAATCCAAGTTGAAATGCTTGTTGGTTAAGACTACGTAATGCACTCCAACCAAACACTCAAAGGTTAAAGGTGAGACCAAAAAGCAGTTGAGGTTGTGGGACACAATCGCCCTTTCAGCCAGGATCGGGCTTGAAATCCATCAATGAACTTGCTGGATGTGTGCCTCCTCTGAAAGAATGATAATTGTGTCCGCTCCCTTTATACATGTCCAGCAAGCCCGTGCGCGGAACGGTCACTCGAAGAACAAAAACAAGGTCAACGTCCTTGTCGTGACTTGTCTTCTACATCTGGAAAACTCAGATGACGCTGCTATGTATATGTTCATATATGTATGTGAGTGTTGGGTAACAACACAAAAACAAAAAACAACAAGTTATACAGGCTACTGGGGTTCAGGCCCCTTGTTTGGCCAACTGAACAAGGGCGCTCCTGTCGTAAACATTACACACGTGGGGCAGAAGCCATCCCAAGCATTTGACTCGAGAAATCAGGTAGTCTTGCTGATTCGCGTTGAACATGGCAACCAGAAGCTAGCAGAGTGGAATCGTTTTTGGACAAGCACAAGTCGTTGCCACACTTCCATGACTTCCATGGTGGTGGGACATTGGGTTATGGGGCCAATTTCTGTGATAACAAGGGAATCCGTTTCACGCATCTAAGTAGTCAGAGGGACGGCTCACGTTGGTATCTCCTAAAGGCGGGCTATTTCACACAAACGAATTTTCATGTGCACAGCGGCACGGCATGGACACATCAGCCAGGCAGGCTCTTGCTGAGTGGGCTCCGGCGCTTTGTTTTGCAGCTTCACCTGGCACAGGGTTGCTCAAATGGGACCACCAGTCTTGCCCCCTAAAATATGCCTATGCACATGACTCGGGATCCCTAAGAAAGAAGCCTTCATCCTGGCTGAGGTCGCGACCCAAAAGACACATGACTGCAACCATTGGCCGGCGGCTTGTGTGGCCAAAGAGCGAAGGCTTGAGAAAATTGGAAGACTACTCAGCAAGCATCAATCAATCAAAGTACCGCGCTTCATGCAACGCAAACCGAAGGCAACCAAAAACAACATGCCTCTGGACAATTTTCCAGGACTGCGAGCAACCAAATCCGACTTCTCCCGATCCTGGCCTTAAGGTTGCTGAGCGCTCTGAGCCACAGCTTCCGCTCGGATGAGCTCTGGGAAGCAAAGTGATGACCTGATAGCACTCTTGACCCGCCCGAACGAGCTGTTCACAGAGGCAAGCCTGGTCAAAAACTAAAATGAACCACTGGCTGCAACTCACCAACTGTTCAGTTTGCACAAGGCATATACCAAAGTAGCTTGAAACCACCTTCCTGTGGTTTTCCCGGGGCTTCCGCCCTCCACCACAAAGCAGCTGCAGTTGATGCCCACCACGTCGCAGCACACCTCGCGTGTCTCTTTTTGCTTGTTTTGTTGTTCTTATTTTGTTTTTTGGGGGGTTACACAAACTTACACAAACCGGGGCATGGAGACACCAAGGAAAATAGGGTTGGTTGGCTGTCCTTCAAAACTACACACCATGTCTGATGATTCTGCGCTCTCAGTTTCTTAAGACAGTGTTCTATATCTTCATGCCGTGGGAAATTCCTCTGCAAAGCCTTGCTCTTATCTGTTTGATTCTCTGCATCACTTCGCACATGACATCTTGAAGTAACAAACACCCACACACACACACAATGCAACAGGTGGGCGCCGGACAAATGATCAGATTCCGAGCACCGCGCTTGTTCTAATGGACAACTCTGGCCTACCAAATACCAGGTGACACGGGTGGATAAATTCCACACGCTCCAAACAAATAGGTATGCAGGGACTCATCTTCTGCCATACTGTGCCCCGCCCCCGCCAGCACTCCAAAATACACGGTCCCTACTTCGAACGACTGTGCAAAACTGCTCATCGTAGTACTCACCCCTGAAGAATTCAAACACTGATGTTGCTGCTGATTGTGTCTCCCATATTGACGAACGCTGACATGACGCGCAGGGCATCTAACATGATGCAGCGGTCTCAGCCCTGCGCGGAGGTCTCGAAGATGGGGATCTCCATGATGGAGCCTGTCGTTGATTGGCTTCCAGTGTTTCCTCAGATAGGGCAACTCTTTCCTGCCCTGAAAGCCAGACCCCCTATTGATGAATTGAATCCTTTCATCTGAGCAGCTGGTCTGTGTGATCGATCCCTTTCAGGCCATGCATCCTACACAGACTGACACGGAGCTCCTGTTGGAGTCCACTATGAGTGCGTCACTCGCTCAACCTTTCCTTTGCAACACGTGGGGTTGGCAATAATTGCCTCTGACAACCTCTAACGCCAAACCACGTGACTCCCTTTTGCAGTTTGTCCTCAACAAGTGGTGATTGGGCTAGGACCCCTCATTTAATTGGGATACACGTCTCGGGGTACACCCTCATGGGCACCTACTGAAGATGTGAACCGTCTCCAATCCCTTGGCACGTAAGACTGGCAGCACATCACGCAGTAAGATCTGCTTGTCTTTCCGAAGGCTTGAACGGCTCTCATGCCCTGTGGGGCCCTGAGAACGGTGCAGCTCATTTAGGCGTTTCGAAGCACTTGATGACATGATGCTTCAGGTTCGTGCCCAAACTTGGCAACACTCTCTGGTGCGGAAACGATATGCCTGACCTGTCTCGCAGGACCCTAAACCGAAAGAATGGTTCAGCCAACCTTTTTGGGGGTCTCTTTTTAACAAGGACACCGAGCAGTTGCAGGGGTTCAACACTCTTCACGCCCATGTCATCCCTGCACGCGGCTCGCCGTTGCAGAGCTCGTTCTCGTAGATCACCAGGCCTAGGCTTCCGGCTTCGGGCTTTGCCCCCTCTCTCGCTGGCTTCGACCCAGGCTGTTGAGAAAAAAGGGACCTAAAGGGACTCATGAAGGTTTCCGCAGGGGGCAGCTCTGGAAATGGGTTCAAAAGGCAAACCCCGGGTTTGTCCCTTTCTGTTGGGTGACTTACCCTGAAGGGCCCGGACATGGGCTCAAGGGCCAAAAGGGATGGTCTCCAAGATGGGAACAGTGACCAAAAGCGGTCAAAAGGCGATCATGATTTGGGTTGCCAGACAGATCTCATGAGCCAAAAACCAAAGCGCTCTACAGCTCGCGTCCCTTTGGGCTGGATGAAAGTTCCTGCTTTTCTGTGGTCCACTAAACGAAGTCAAAACGACAAACATAAACATGGAGTTCGAATGTCTGGTACGAACATTTCGTGTTGAACAAGGCGGTTGAAATGGAGGGCCAGAAAGCTGCACCCCCAACTGGGTTGGGGTTTACCAAAGTTTTGGCGCTGAAACGCCCTGAAGCGGAAACTCGTCAGTCCTTGAGCAGCATATGGGTGCCGTTTTTTTGAGGGCTCTGTTGTTTGAAGGAAGCCACCCATTTCGTGGCTTCCTTCATTTGGAGACAAACCCAAACGATAGAAACGCTGAACAGCTGCGGCGCGACCGGTGAGCTAAGTCTTGTGATCATGTTTTCTTCGCTGTTGGAACCCCACAACCGTGTGGGTATGCGTTGTGGGACATGACCACTGGTACCAAATTCGAATTCCCATCCCCATGGCTGGCTTATAACTTTCAGGGAATTTCCCAGGAAGCAGCCTACAAGCAGCAAGTTCCCAACCCTGCCACTTGCTGGGACAATGTCACACAGGCATTCGCTTTGACACGCAGCACTCTGCCAGGCCACCAGTGAGGTCGCAAATTGTCACACCATCTTTGGTTCAAGGGTCCGCGAACGGGACAGGTCGATTCCCCGAACAAAAAGGTACAACTTGTGAACAAAAACAACTGCTCGCACAATGAGGCACTGGCTCGCTCTCGGGCCCACTGGTGCTTGCAGCTCGCAGTAGACCACCGAGACGTTATCAGCATCATCCCTGGATCCACAATCGAGTTGTTCGGTGACCCCAGTAGAAAACGGGAATCATCTTCTTGGGTTGACCATTTTTGGTGGGGAGGCCACCTACCAAGGAACAAGGGTGCCACTGAACAACTGGGACAAGGATGCACAGCTGCCCGTTTACTCTCAGAACTCCGCACCAAAATTCGGAGCCAAGCAGGCCTTTATCATAAAAGGCCTTGGGAGAAACTGCTTTTTTGGGGGGTTGGGATCATATATCTCAGCTTTTGCCCCGCTATGACATGCATTTTCGTACATCTGACTTTCGTAGAATGGTGTCAGTCCCACTCGTTGGCTTAGCTCCAATGCGTTTGAGGTAACGCCGCGCCCCGGTACATGTGTATCGTTTGCCCCCGCGTTGCTCGTGAAAATGCCACGCGCGATCATTCCAAAAGGGAAATATACGGACCCCTGACCAACCTTCGAGCAATAACCTTTCTCATCCCTGCAAACTTGGGCCCTCTTTCTTTGCATCCCTTCAATTGGGGCGCTCGTGTTTTTCGGCAACTTGGCTTTGGGCCCCCGCCTGTGGATCAAATAGCCCGCAAGCAGGCGGCGGCTTGTCTTTGGCACGCCGGGCACCGGGTCGCAGCTGAGCTCAGCCATGGGCCTCAAGTCGGTGGCATCGGTTTGAAAGAGAAACCAAACCAGCGTTTGCCCCGGAGCCCAAAAAACACTATTTCGGATCTGGGTCCCTTTGTAGTGAACCCAACACTGCAAAAACAATTCCCGCCCAACTCGAGAACCCTGTAAGGTACGTGGGATTGAAAGAACATCAAAAAAACCAGTCAACTGGAGCCGTCTTGGTGGATGGCTTTTGGTGGACGGCTTTAGAGGGAAACCAAAAGGAAGCCAGTCAAGGGCACCAGTCGATGTGGTTCGAAAGAAACCACCAGGGCTTTAGTACACTTTCCCACCGTCATCCAAATCAATCGTTTGGATTAAATGAAGGGTCTTCCCAATGTGGTGGAGAACCCTCCTTCCAGCACAGCCCCATTTTTATTCATAGGATGGAAAAAGGTTCCTGACTTCCACGTTCAAGCCGGGTGAATCAGCTCCTGGTTGCCCAGTGAAGGGAACCCCATCTCCAAAAAGTTAAGGGGTGCTGGGGTTGTGGGGGATCCCTCACAAACAGTCCTTCCTGGCAAGGTCATCTCCCTCAAGTCGCTGACTGTTTCACGCAGGATCCCAGGCGGTTCCTTGCCCAGCGTGGAAAAAAGGACCTCCCCTTGGTTGGATCATTTTGAACAGGTTGCTACATTTTGAAGGGAACATCTGCCAAGGAGTGCCACTGGCCCCCCAAAATCAGTGGCCTGTCAATCCACACATAGCAAATCTGCGTGCGCGTGCGTATTTTTTGTGGTTTCGAGGGTACCCATTTCACCTTCAGTTGAAAGGGAAGCCCAAAAGAAAACCACTATTTGCGGGTCCCCCTATTTTGATGACCCAAATTTGTCAGCTGAGATCGAGGCAACAGGGAGTCGATGATCAGCAAAATGGTGTGGGACAAGCCCAGCACCCATTCTGAGCGCTCCTGCGGAGAGGTCTGCTGGAGGGTTCGAAATGGGGTGAATCGGGTTTTTTAAAAATCCAAACACCATGCGTAGTGAAACACCACAAGAGAAGCAAGTACCACCTGGCATAAGCATTGAACAACCCAGGAACGTGGTGAATCACGCAACCTTCCGAGGCAAGTCACGGGATTGGAGATAGGCCCGTTTGTACAGTATGTGTATGCTGTGATGTTTCCTTCAGTTTCCGTTGAAAGTGACTCACAGGTGCCAACACGAAAACCACACATTCCCTCTCCAAGCCAACAGCAAACCCATTGAATTGTGGGTCTGCCAAGATGCGTATAAGGATTTTCATAGACCTTCCTAAACATTTCCAGTACTCCTCACTTCTTGATGTATTAGTCAGTAAGAGTCCAAGCTTCCAACACGGAGAAAAGCGTTCCAGATTTTTCCCCGTGAGTGGCTTTAACATGTGGCATTTTCAAGTAAGCTCCTTTGACCGGCGTGACGTTCGAAACGCTGAAGGTGACTGTCCTCTTCGGCCTCGCGCTCTTCGGTGCTGCGCACTGCGAAGTAGCAGCAGGGGTCGGGCTCTTGCAGGGACACCTGCCACTGGTTTGGAGGACACCCAAAAACGGGATTGCCTTAAGCCTGTGAGGAAAGGCACCCAGAGAAAAATCAGCCGCCTGTCAAGATAGCTGTTTTGACTCTTTATCCTTTTGGCCAATACTCGAAGTCGTTGCTTTACTTTCAAGGCTGGATGCACAGGAGTTTGCAAGGCCAGTTGCAATGTCGGGTGTGTACAAGGTAACTCAGCAAGCAGCACATATCCAGAAGACACATATTGGCCAGGTGACGCTCGTCCAGGGGGCAAACAGAGCTTGCGCAAAACTGTCGAGGTCCCCTTTATTGAAAGCTCTGAAAAGCGGCGCAGAATCTCAGAAGCCAACAAGGACACCAAAAAACACAGAGACAAACATACACACACACACACATTGACATACACACTAAAAAACAACACCGACTACTTGGACGGGCTCCCCATTTTTTCCTTTCACTCTCTCGCTCCATCCCGTGACCCATGTGAGCCACAACCAATCCGGGTTTGTCTCGAAATGACATGCAGAACCCACACAATGGGGAACCGACTTACCACGCGTAAGGGATTATGTGCTGACGGGAATCCAAACATTCGTGTACATGAGGGTTTGTCTTTGGATGGGGGAACCCCGCAAAATGGGTGGTTGCCCTCCGGTTTCTCTTTTAAGCAAATCCGAAAAAGGAGCACCTGCAACAAAGACACACCCCACATTGTCATTGTCTCCTCATGTTCCCCATCTAAAATTGGATTGGCGAGTGGCCGCTGTCCTAACGACGCAAGGCTCATGATGGCTATTTGGGGGTCCTCACATGGGGTTTTGTCAAGTATAGTCCAGGGGTTCGGCATGGTATTGGGGTGGTTATTGGGTACCCTGCGGGTGCCACAGTGACTGACCGGGAATGCTCACTTGCCCAAATGACCTGGAACAAGGCGATTGGCTTTCAGACTCTTATAAAACGTGGTTGCCAAACATCGGCAACCAACGGGTCAAAAGGTCGATTTGCTTTGGGCAAGTGAGAGTATTGGCCGATGTTGGCCCTGATGTGTTGCCAACCTGAGATGAGGGACCTCTCCAAGAAAGACACCTTCATCATGGGCGAGGTCGCATTTTGCGTTGTCCAAAAGGAAAGGGCCCAGCCGTTGCTAGAGGTGTTTTCACCCAGAGTAACCTTTCGCGCCTTAAAGCTTTTTAATCTGGAGCACTCCCCGGACCTCAGTGGCTCAAGGCGCGCCTTTCAGGCATCGTACTTCATGTAGTGACAGGTAGTACTGTTGCCCTTCGCAAAAACCACCATGTGTGTGTGTGCTTTTTGAGGGAACCCTTTTCAGGCTGCTTCAAAAGGAAGCCACAAGTTGGCATCTCACAGCACGGCCTAGGCGTGGAATGCACACGACGCGTTTTCAGTTTAGACCTGGAAAACCAGCCGCAAGTCTGCAGAAAGTAATCACTTTGGCGCTCCTGTCTGCGAATCGCTGCAGACCTTAATCCCAACCCATCTTGTTACCTTCAACTGAGACCCCCATGCGTCCTGATTAGTTTTGCGTGGGAGGTAACAAGAGTAAGCGGGGTTTGGTTGGCTGGAGATTGAAAGCCTGCAACTAGCTGTTTGCTGGTCAGTTTGTGCCAGACTGCAACCAGTGCCGTTAAGCTGACCCAGAAGGGCACATATGCTTAGGATCCTATCATTGTGCACTGCAGTGGCAAACTCAGCGCTAGGCTGGAAGCGGCAGTTCCGAATCAAGGAGAAGGGTGACAGGGACACCGACGCCTGGCAGCTGCATGCGTCAAAAACGAGTTGAGCCGCTTCTGGGCCCATGTGCGAAGAGAAACCAACATGAACTGCCGGGTGGTGGAAACTTTGGATGTCTTAGAATGGGTCTTCCGCCCCTTTTCTTCTATTTTCAGCCACCGGTTCTGGATCCAAGTGCTAAAACGGCCTGCGGTCTCCGGAGCGTGCATGGGACAACCAGGTCGCCAGGTGCCCGCCTCGCGCCCGTCCAGGGTAGAGAAGGCAAAGCCGTTCACGTAGAGGCTAAAGGTGACGGACTCAAAGCGGTCCTGGCCAGCGTTAACTGTCGGACTCAAGCGGCATCGTTGCCGAGGCTCAGGTGACGTACCATGATTTGACCCTTTGTTGGCAAAGGCCCGGCAGCGGGTGACAGTTGAATGACATGAGTAAACTCTATCCGGGTAAACCATAAACTTCCACGAGCCTGAACTGAGGGACCCTCAAATTCTCCAAGACAAGAACCTTCATCATGGTTCGAGGTCGCAACCCAAAGCCCTTTGTGAGGTCGCGATTTGATTTGGCAGCAGAAACAAATGGCTGATTTACTGTTCGGTCAACATCAAGGTGTTGCCTTCGCAAAGAAGCATCTTCAGATCATTTTTGACAGGGTAAGCAATTGTCCACATGCACCTTAGGAAAAGGGCAGCCATGTGACCCAGCGAGCGGGCGGGCCAAATGTGATGCTTTGGCCTTTGTTTCTAAACGGATGAAGTAATTAATAAGAAGGATAATCATACGTGATAACAGTAATAACCATAACAATAACAACAGTACTACGCAATATTTCATAATAATGAACATGATAATAATAATAATTACTACTGCTACTGCTACTGCTACTGCTACTGCTGCTGCTGCTGCTCCTGCTCCTGCTACTACTACTACTACTACTACTACTACTACTACTACTACTACTACTACTACTACTACTACTAATGACAATACAAATAATAATGATGATAATAGTGACATAATAACAACAACACTAATAATAATAGCAATAACATCAGTGATACACACACACTAATCATAGTAACACACACACACTAATAATAGTATTAATAATATTAATCACATTTATGCTAAACAAACAATTTCCACTAACAATGACAACAATGACAATAACACATAAACGAACCAATAAAATGATAAACGGTAAGCAGAACAACACATTTGTACCTATATATATATACACACCCAAGCAGAACGCAATATATGGATAGATGAATATATCAAAGTAATCAAATTGACAATGATCCTAGTACTAGCCATGCTGCTACTACTAATAGTGAACCAACTGAACAAATACAACATACAGCATAGAATAAATCAACACTATAATACCAATACGTAACGGTAACAATGATAAATAGACACATTAGTAAACATAATACTGATAATCACACAGTGTAACATTCTAGTCACAAACACAATGCTAACGACATTATAATACTCATGATAATACATGATAATAGCAATATAAACCAGGGCAGTACCAATAATGAACAATTGCAACAGCAAGGACTCATCTATATTACGTTATACATAGTCATCATTACTTAGTAAACAAAACATCATGGATCATACATCAAACATGCTAAGTAATCAATAACCAATTTTAAGACATAAACCATACAAAATACAATAAACATATCAAGCCACCTACAGACACAATACATATCACATAGTCAATGATGCCGAATCAATAAAACTGAATTATACTTACTATTCTTGATAGCGATGATACTCATATATATATATATATGTATATGTAACATATTTCACCAACCAAACAGAAGGGTTTCTGACGAAACCAACCTTACTATCATGGGTGAGGTCACAACCCCCGTGCATGTGGTTGCTAAAACATGGCCGGATTGATGCGATGCAAGCGTTGGAATCTGTGTTTGAATCCCTTCGTGATTACCTGAATAACGCCGATCCCATTCCGTCTCTCGTGATAGTGGCACAGAACTGAGTCAGACACAAACACAGGTACTTTGCAACAGAAGGTAAACACAGTTGCGCACATGTTTCAATCCTGCAAAGTAGCTCTCGCCGCATACACAAACTTATTCTCCAGAACCACTCCTTGGGCCCGTCATGTCGCATGCAATACACATCGGAAAACGCTTTCCCTACCGGTTCAAAGGCTTTGCAAGCTCTTCAGTTGGAAGCCTGGCGCTAAAACTCTCGCTTCAACATCCCGGTGGATCGGGCAGAGACAAGCCAAAAACCACAAGGGGCCGTGCCGTAGAGTCGTAGAGATGTAGAGTGTGGGTTGTTTTTGGCCGATTGGTCAATAGAGCGGTACGTGTTCTTTGTGGACAGTGCACTCGCAGAAACCATTTCCGAGCTGCTGTTTAGTTCAACTGAAGTGGCATTGGGCTTCCTGACGTAACCCGTCTGTTTGCTAGCATGTTCTTTTCTCGCCGGAAAAAGAGGGGACATCGTCCCAAAAACATCACACCGGATTGCATAGACACCGAGCGTGTGCTTGGTCTTTTGAGGACACATCGACAAGAAACAAAGCGGCAAGCTGCTCTTCCTTCTTTTTGATGTTTCTCTTCATATCGAGGATATTCATCTAGGGTCAACCTTGGGGTACTGAACATAATATGTTTAGATTTTGAATATGTCAATTCGAGTCAGTTCTGGGAACTTGTTCGCAAGATGCACAACCAATGCACGCCCATTTTTCATTCGCTTTCCTGCGCCAGTCTTGGAGCAAAGCCAACAGAAGGCTGCGTGCATGGTTTCATGCTACAGCCAAGCAACGTACCCAAGAAAACATGGACAGACTCATGTTTGTTCTTCTGTCTTTGTTTTCCTGCGTTGTCTTAAGTTCAATGGACACAACGACCTTCGGGGCCAACATTTTGGGGGTTGCATATCCCATATGGATAGAAACCCGCATGTCGTTGGCTTGGGCCGCTTGTGCTTGCGAGTCTTCGTCCCCGATCCAAAGCCCACTTTGTGGCTTCCAAGAGCTGAAACGACTCGTTGCTCTCAAAAGGGCTGGTGCGGATGTGCCGTGGCGGAATGCTGCTGGGCCTGGGCTGGGCAAGTGGTTGGAACTTCTATTAGGTCCTAGTGCAGCTGTGGAGTGAATTTCCTTTTTTTGATGCATGGTATCCATGGCAAATGGCAGAGGCTGTGGGCCCGCGGAGGGCGTGATTTGCTCCAGCGTGATTATTTCCATAGAATAAGACTGGCACTTGAAGTCACTTGGTATCCAGTGACACTTTGCAGGCAAACTGAAGGTCGGGGCAGCTTCCTTGCTATTGGAGTATCTTTCATGGGCTTTACCTCACTCCAAACAAATGTGACTGGCGCAACACCGCTTGGGAGGACAACACCTGACTCCTGAAAACGACGGAAGGAACCTGAAAAAGAGCCCCACAAGAGGAACATGGGTCGACGCGCTCAGCCGTGTCCCTCGTTCAGATTTTCATGGTTGGCTTTCGCAAGAGCAACTCAGATCAGAATGTCCAACTGTACCCCCCCCTTCTGTCCAGGGTGGCCCAAACACAGCAAGGGAATGTTGACGTTGCTGACAAGAGGGACAGGTGACAAGGATGGTTGGAATAAGGTACTGTCTTTTAACCTGCCTCGAGCTGGGCATCCTCTCACTGGAAAGGTTGGTCGACAGGACTGAGCGAGCCAAAAGCTCTGAACTGAACATCGAAGTTCAACTTCTCCTTCTCCTTTTGTTTAGTATTCCAACCAAAGATGTCAGGTTGTTGTCGCTCAGCCGGAAGGGTTTCCGCCTTTTCCACCTGGTGGGGCGGTTTATCTCCAAGGGGGAGCTCAACAAAGGGCACTGACCCACATTGCCGGCTCGGTTGGCCTGGAAGATTAAAGCATTGCTACACGTTGACAAGAAAATCACCCCCGCTTTGGGGTACTTCGGTACAGGGCACATGGGGGATGGTCCTTTTACCACCTTGTTTGGAACCTCCAAAAGGCATCTACGCGCTAGGGGGTTGTCCTCCATCTGAGTTGTCAATTGTTGGGCAGTGTAAGCCTCGCTTGCAGAGTGGTCCAGACAATTTGTTCACCACTGATTGCTTCCTTCCCAACAAGTCGGAAGTCTATAACGTGAACAACCAAGGACCCTGACTTGTCGCTTTCAGATTGGATTTTTTCCTGCCACTCACACCAAGCCCCGATACCCTCAAGCAGCGTGTCCCACACGTCCGATTCCGGCGCCTGATGTTGCAGGAGCCCGCTGAGCGGCTGTGCCTCGCGCCCGGATGATGCTGCATTGGCGCTGGGAGACAGGGCTCCGGGTTTGTCGCAAACGGGATTCCCAACAAAGTACAACTTGCGACTTTCCTTCTGATCTACCTTTTCCAGCCGAACAAGGGTACACTCAGAAAGAGACGCTGTTGTGGTGACAAACCAGTTTGGTAGTAATATGGGTTTGTCTCAAATTAGGGGAACCATCCAAAATGGATGGTTTCCTTTCGATTTCCTGTAAACACCCGTAACCTCAGTTGGGCTTGTCTCCAAATCCCAAAATGGGTGGTTTCCCTTTGGGTTTCCCTTCAAACAAGCCCAACCAAAGAAGGTTTCAAAGAAAGCATATATTTTTGCCTGTTCACAATTTCAATCTGACCCGTCAAATGGTGGTTGAATGACACCGACTTCCAGAGAGGAAGCTTGGACAACCGCCCAAAAGCGACCAGTTTAATTCGCCCCGTCAGAAAACCTGTCACAGTCTCTTGCTCCTTTCAGTTGCAAGTCCACCGCTCTGAGAACAGGTACAGAAATCGTAATCCGCGCCTGACCCCTATCCCTATTTGGTGGTCTGGATTGGTGGTTTGCGATTTTTGAACTCCCCACTTCACTTAAGTTACACTCGCCCTCTTCGGGTGGCTGTGATTTGGAACTTGGATCGACATTACCTCAAGCCACTTTTGGGAAGCCCGGGCCATCCATGGTGAACCAAGGGACACATGGGGCACCAAAGAGAAGCTGAGGCTTGCGAGGACCCAATCAAAGAGGATCACTCCTCTGTAAATCTGGCTTGTTCAAACTCGTTCCTCAACAAGCAAACTGCATGGGGCTTGTCCGGGCTTTTTTGTCCACCGAGCTGCAAGAGTTTTTCAAAGAGTTCAAATTGAAGCTTACTCGCCAAAGAGCCTTTGGATGCTCAACTGGGGGTCTGGAATGATCCAAACAACTGGAGATCAACGAATCTGTGCTATTTAAGATACGCCCGGTAAGCAGCGAAGTGAGAGGGATACCCTAAATGACCTTCACGGGACCCGCAATGAAATGGCTCTTTCTTTCCCCTGGATTGGTAAACCGGAAAGCCCCCAACAAAGGATGCCAATAGCTATGGGTCTTCCCCTCACGAGCAACCAATCAATCACCTCCAATGATAAATCTAGTTTCCAAAAGATCTAAGGGGCTACGGTTCTACCAAAGATGGAGATTAGGACTCAGACCAATGACCAAAAATAGGATCACCGGGAAGAGCACAAGCTTAAGACATTTTAAGACCCTCACCAAGGTGGGTTCCCGGTGTTTGTTGTGTCCCACTCGCTCCGGTTGGCCTGGCCGGCTGCTCCCGCAAGGTGGTACAGTAGCGAGCCTCCTGGGCCGGCCTGGGGCACATCGGGCTGAAAGTTCACCGCGGGTGAGTTCGTTTCGCTCCGTTATAACTTGCACAGAACAACAGGGCCGAACTCCCCGCGTCTTAGGACCTGCTTCAAGCCAAAGTTGACATGCAACATTTGGGAACAGTTTCCTTCCAAAAGGGGATGCATGATTTGGACGCCTCCCTTTCATGGACAAGTTTGGTAAATCCCTAAGTAGCTGGTTTTTAGTTTGAACCATAAGAGGTTGGCTGCCAAGCTCCTGCCTACCGGGTTGGCTTCTATTTCCTTTCCCTTTGAGCACGTTCCCAACTCTGAACCCGGTCAGCATCCTGCAGGCCACGTATATATATATATACACATTATGGTATTATATATATATATATATCATAGCGTTTGCTAAGAAAGAAACACCACTAAAGCGTAATGTGTGTTTCCGTTCGGTTCTCGCGCCAGTACACAACAGTTCAAGCATGGTCGGTTGTGCCACGCACATCGGATGCAACACCTGCACAGGGATCATGGCCGCTTCTCCTTATCGGAGTCGTCATCATGGTGGCATGCCCATCCGAACTGACCATGAGATTCACAGCATCTGCAGGAATTCGGTGCCTGCCACGTAGACAGGCGCCTTCCACCCCCGGTTGACTGAAATCCATCTTTGTGTGTCTGTACCTCTCGATCAGCTACATGCCGCAAGGGGGGGGGGAAGCAAGCTAAATGACACACAGCTTATACCAAGCCTTGTGTTGGAAAGATGCAAAACAAACTGGTCATATTTGCCATTGAACCATGTGTCGCATGTTTGTTGTGGTATTGGCACCTCGGCTAGGTCCCAGAGCTGGTGTGGTGTGTACCCCATATCAGGCACTGTCAAACATGGAGTTCCTGCAATGGACTTGGACAGATTAGCGAGCACAATTAGTGACGTCTCTGGAGCCAGATAAATTTTGACCGAACCTCACACCTTCCGCATGTTCTTCAACGTATTCCTAGTCCTTGCTGGCTTGTCCGTGCATGTGCGCATGGCCAAATGATGTATCCCGGATGAATAGCTTCTTGGTTGACCCATTGCGGCGTCTATGCACACCTTCAATCTGCATTGACAACTACAGTTCGAACAACTCTTAGACGAGCTGGTTCTCATTTGTGCGGGTTCGATGACACTGACAAAGACAGCAACGTGCGGCTTGAGGGTCGTCATGCGGCCACGGACCCCGGGAACCTATCAACCACGGTTTCTTTAAACAAAATAGGGGCCTGTTCCTTGATGGACCTCATTGCGGACTGCCATAAAATGTTTTAAAGGGAAGCGTGGCGATGTCAAACGGAACCCACGACCCAACTACGTAGGTTCGCATCCCATCTGAACACAAGCGCTGAGCTCAGCTCAAGGAGGTGCACATGGTCGGAGCCCACGACATAGTCCGCTAGGCCTCGGCGTCTGGGCGTCTTGAGGGGTCTCTGGGGTCTGCTCGAGAGTTGATAGGGCGGCCCCAATGTCTCTCCTTTTGCCAGCGCTGGATGAAGGTGTGCCTTCCTTTATTAAAAACTGAACGAGATTCACCATATTGCTCTTGACTTCGACTCTTCAGGTTGCCTTTAGGTCGGCGGTCATCTTCAGATGAGGGCTGAAACCCTTTGTGAAGGAAACCGACACGGGCTTGCAAACATGTATGGGGTCCATGGTGGCAACCACCCATTTCGTGCTTTTGAAGCGCCCTCTGCTCTGACTGTTTTCGAGCTCGCGAGACCCTCTCTCGGAGAACGGGAAGCTGCCTTCCAAAAGGATGGTGGATATGAGGCCAGATCTTCTTTTATTTCTGACACCTTTCGGAGTCTCTCACAGAAGTAGCGAGGGCATTCATCAACCATCCTGTCAGCTTCGGGAAATCGCTGGGTCCGAAATAGCCTTCTGGAATCATGTCAAAATCATGGTTTTCCGAAGGCCTCCCCAACTCATTCCAGCCACCCAGCGGCAGCACCTCTTTGGCCCAACTCGGGATAGCTAACACGCCGCTCAGAGCGCCCATCTCGTGGGACATCGGAAGAGTTGCGTCCTGGCGATTTTAACAGCCCCTCATAGAACAAACACCGGGATATGGGTAGGTGTTTTTTCTGAATGTACCCTTTCTTGGGTTCACATAAGCCACTGCATGTCTGTTGTCCACAGACGGGGAGTTTAGGGTATAGAAAAAGCTGGACAGTTTCCCGCACCTCAGGGAGGAGGGTTTCCAACGGTTCCCGAAAGGATACATCCAACCACCACCTGCTTTACAAGGGTAAATCAGCTGCACAAGGCGATTCTCTAACCGGGCCAAGTGAATTCTGAGAACCGCCCGCATGCAATAATTCACGTCTCAAAAGCTTGGAACTAGAGAGAGAGAGAGAGAGTTAATCTGATGCGACCACGTCATGCATCCACCAGCATTCCTTGTCCTCGAACATGGACAAACGTACGTGTGCAGGCGCAAAGTCTTCTAGCCCCTTTTGCAGCCCAACAGGATGGATGTAAGCCTGTGTCAGCTGCAAGTCAGCTGAATAGCTACGGCCATGAAGGTCATCCTGGTTGCCAGGGATGCGGCTTTATCTGCTGTTTGGGCTTGCCCAAGCAGTGCCCTGAGGCAGTTGACGGGTTGCCATACCCAGAAGATAAGCAACAGCACAGGATGTGATATCTACATCGCATCGATACCACACACCAACTATTGTTTGTATGCGAGGAAGATATCGCACCAATGGCAAGTCACTGACCTGCAGCACTCTTGGCATCCTTTAGAAGCCCTTCGTGGTTTGAAAATTCGCACTCCAGCCCCTTTAGGGGCTGCGCCCAAAAAATTGTGCATTCCCCGAAGGGGAAGCACCAAGTGGCTAACGAATGCCACTGGATGAACACTAGAAGATTCTATTTGGTTGGCAAGTTTGATTGCCAACCACCCCAAATGGGACATGTGTCAAAGCCATAGAACCCGTCAAGGTTGTGTCATGTTGATTTCGTGCAAGCCAGCCCCCAGGAGGGCCCAGCTCGATTTGTCAAACAAACCAATGGGGAAACATGGATTGTTTTGGTGGAAACAAAGGGGTCTGGTCCCTTATCCTCCAACTCCCAAATGTCCTCTTGGGGATGTGGGAGGAAAATCAGTGGCGTTCTTCTGAAATCCCAGTAGCCCCTGGCAAAAAACGGAAGTCTTTTCTGGAGCCACACCCATACAAGGCGGCCGAGCCCCCTTTTCTTTGACCTGAAAAATTGCGCCCAGCGCTTCCCGTTTCCTCTGTAGTAGGTAACCTGGTATTTAGCCTGTTGGTTTTGCATGATGGTTTCCCCTGGCCACCTACAATAGTGGAAGCTGGACTCGCTGGGAGCGCCCATGTTTGAGGCAGTTCCAACCGTTAAGATCAATCGCCATCCGGGAGAACATCGCTGCATTACGAACAGCAGCAGGGCCACCAATTCTTCCGCTCGGCTTCCAAGCGCCGCTTCTCCCAAGCCGCTTTGTCTGATTTGTAGATGCCAGTGTCCACCACATCCTGAGAGTCATGTTGTCTCGGTTGAGCGCACCCTAAACACCACAAACATCATGTTGCAAAGGGAAATACAATGAGCCCTGCCTGCAGAAACCGCTTCACTTCCACCACCATCTGGGCTGCTCCATTCTCCTTGCGCTCCAAAACTGGGTTGGTCCAACTGAACCGGGTTCAGGATGGCTTAAGCAGATTTCGCTTTGACAAAGCCATCGATGCCTGGGGTTTGGAGTGGTTGTTAACTTGGTTCATGGTGACCTGGTAACCTGATGTCAGGTTGTGGATTGCTTGAGGATTTGGTTAGGGTAGGCTCAGCTTCTGGGTTGGTTCAAAGCGAGAAACGTCTGCATTCAGGGTGGGGTTAGGTGAGATTTGGATGCGTGGCAAATGATCTTAGATTGGCTTTTGCCGGTCCAGGCCTGGTTTGGGGTGGGTTTGGGCTGGGTTCAGGGTGTTTGTATGGTTGCAGTCAGGTAGGCTTAGATTCGGCTTGGCGTAGTTTGGATGGGTTTTAGGGAATGTGTCTGGGGCGGGTTTAGGATGGATTGAAGGCGGGGTTCTGTTGGTTTCGGATTGGTTTAAGGCTTGCTCAGGGTGGGATTAGGAAAGGTCCCGACCAGTTTTACATTTGAGCTCAGTTTGGTTAACGCGAGTTCAGGGAGGGATTCGGATTAACTTAGGGTTGGGTTTTGGCAGGTTCCGGGTGGGTATTGGGTGAGATTAGGGTAGCTTTAGGTTATGTTGGTGACATCTTGTTTGGGGGTAAGTTTAGGATTGCTTCCAGGCTGATTGGGAGCCACGGTCTTGGGTTGCTTTGAGGTCATTTGCAGCCAAGCGAAGGAACGGCTTAGGCAGGTTCCCAATAGTTGTTTGCGATTTGTTTACAATTGACCTTGGGCACGTTGAGGCTTGGTTTGGGGCGGGGCCCAACTTATTGCAACCAACCCAACCGGATACCATACTTCTCAACAAAAGGCGGAACTGGTATTACTGAACAACTGGGTTGCTTTGAGTATGACTCTCTTGTTGTATCTTTGGGACGAGAGAGAAGCAATTCTCTTTCTCAACGTGTGTACTTCCGTTGGACACTGGGGCATGGAACTGCAAGTCGGGAGAATCACTTGCCACAAGTGCTGGTTTCCCCGAAGTTGCCGTTTGAAGATCAGGCAACAAGGGCTCGTGGTTTGCTTCTTTCTCGTGCAACCAGTGTTCGTGTGCAAAGAACCAGGTTTTCGCTTGCCTGCCATAGGATCGGGAAGGAGTGCGAGTCAAACGGGTTGGTTGTTCTCAAATGGTTGACGAATCATGCCAGTGTCCCTTTCCAGGCATAATCGAAATGGGAAATACGCACCAAGAACTGTACGGGCAAATGCGCTGCACACAACTGGCTTCCTGTGGGTAATACTTCTCAAGGCGTCCGAGAACAAAAACAAGAAACACCTCAACGACCAACTCGGTCCTGGCTTCCAAACCCAAGAAGCAAACAGCAAAGGACATGAGCCCAGAACTGTGAAGACTTGTTTCTGGCCTAAAGGCAGCTTCACGTTTGCCCGCCAAAAAGGGATCCCATTTGGACCAAAGCACCTTCCTGCGCACTTGCATGGAACCCAACAAATCCTTTGTAGTAGAGTCACCACCTTTTGGGAGAAAAATCGGGTTCGGGCTTGGCCCACACCCGTTGTTCAACATGCAGAAAACTCCCTTGGCTCAGCCTTGCAGAGTATTGCTTGGGGACGCTTTTTTTGGGTCGAGCTTATTCGTAGGGAACCCACCAAGCAAAAGAGAACAAGTGTGCCAGTGAACAACGGGTTGTAGCCAAAACTAGGTGACCCTCCCTTGGAAACGACTTGAAAGGGAAACCAAACGGTAGATACCCAAGTGGTTTTTGGAGATCCCCATAAGGGATGTAATATTATGTGTCCAAATACCCGAACCCTTTCCTTGCAACCAGCCTGAAAAGGGTGGCAACTGGAACAACAAACACGCACACACACACACACACACCCTGCAATGGTATTTCCCCCCAAAGGGTCCTGGGGCTGTGAATATCACCTTATCTCATTTGCCTGATACCCCATAAAACAGGATTTGGATCCCCACAAACCCGGGACCCACAGCCGGTCCTTGGCCATCTCCGCGGCCACTTCCTGGGCCTTCTGCCGGATGGCCGGGGACTGGGCGGTCTTCAGGGCCTCAGATCGGCTCGCTGAAAGGCTTCCCCGGTGGCTCGGGAATCTGGAGGTAGATGCCCTTTTCCAGGTTGGCTTTCAGGTTGAGGACAACTTCCACATTGTTGTTCTTTCTTTTCTGTTTTATTGGGGGGCGTTTGCGGGATGGGGGATCGGTGCTTTTTGAGGCTTCCCGCTTTCTCAGGCTGGCTTTGAGGCAAATACAGGGCATTGTTTCCCATTTGGCTGGCTTTTAGGGTTCCATTGTCCCTCAAATCAACGGGTAAGCAAGCAAATGGATAGATCGCTTCGGGGTATTCACCTCCTTGTTTCAAGTAGTGGGTATTTGGGTGTGCTTTTTGACCTGCTACCCATTTCAGACTGGTGTCTAGGTTGAAACCAACAGAAAATCCGAAGATATTCTTTGGCGGTCCCCTGTTTTCACATGTACCTTGGTTTTTTAGGTTCGGCGAGTCCAACCAAAGCAAAACCCCAACTTCTTCTCCCCAATGGCTGTCAAATAGGTCCAGAAATAGCGAAAAGGAAAGGCAAACAGTTCGAGGCGCAAATCGAATTTGGAGGAGTTCAACATAAAGGGTTCGGAAAGAACATGAAGTTCTGAAGACGGAGATCTCCTTATTTGCTGTGTTCCATGTGGGTCCAAATATAACGATGAGGTTTCCATGGAAACCAAACATAGGGAACCCGCAATCAAAACATTTTGGGATGCCTTCGTCCCTGCCCACTGTACTGCAAACACGCAAGTCACACACCTTGTTTTCCACAGGACTTGGGCTGAACAGCGATTCACTGACCTGAAGCATTCTGGAATATTGTTGATTTCAATACCTGAACGGAGGGAGTCCCCCGAGTATTGTTGCGCGTGGCTTACAACAGGCACCATCCACAAAGTCTTGTTGTTGGCTCAATCGCGACACTCCCACCGTTTGCGCGCCAAATTCAAAGTACGCAAAACACGCAATCAAACAATATTGAGCATCTGCAACTTCTTGTCTGCGTTTCTCTGTTGGCTGTGAAACTGAAGCCTCCTTCCAAGGCGCTTGGGCTAAGCCTTCATGGTTTTGTCCTGGGCCCCAAACTTCATGTGACTTTAGATAAATCTCTCCAAAATCACAGGGCAACCAGTCGCTCAAAGGGTGCGGTTCGGACAGTGCCCTGATCGCTCAGGGGAGTCGAGCCATGCCTCAAACACACCTGGGCATTTTCGACCATGGCTTGATTTCCTATGGTCCCTTCACATGCAAACAACATGGCGTTTGCATTTGCACGGGGGACATGTGCAAAGGGATCTCCTTCAGGATTCCATTCCTGCCAATGTTTTCACATACCGAGCGACATCGGCCAGCTCTTCAGCTGTGATGGAATTCAAGCCCTTCATCATGCCCACACCATTGCCCTGCTTGTTCACCAGCTCAGCATTGCCGAATTGGTCGAAGAAGACAGGCGTCACCTCCATTGAACAGATTTCGGGATTTAATGTCAACTCAAACAAGGCAAAGATCAACGAATCACTTCAAGAGCAACAGTCCACTTGGAACGGGATACACAATCCAACTTGTTTGGCCCCATTCTCCGTTGCAGAGAACCCCAAAGCCACCAACATCATGTCTATCACTTTCCCTTGTGGGATCTTGATGTTCAATGGATAACCATGATGAACAACAGAAACGGACCCCCTTCTCTAAATTACAAGCTGGGTCGCCACAGCGGGCACTCCGCTCATGGCGCAGGCGCTGGTAGTTCCAGAGCCCCCGTGGTGCACCATCACCTTGCACTTGGGGAAGAGCTTGGCATGGGCTGCCGACTCCACGAAGAGCACCTCTTTCAATCTCCCCAGAACCCCACATGAAGAGCTCCCGGGTAGTTGTTTGACTTTTCCGGTGAAAGCCGCCCGTTTTCGGGATGAAAGAGGGAGTTTTAACTTGTCCTTTAAAACAGGGGACCACTTTCTGGAACTCAGGAAAAACACATAGACACATCCAAATGGGTTAAAACACAAAAAGGTTGCCACGTTGTGCCAACATTTATACAGTTGTCTGGATTCGCCGTCCCATACAAGTGCACACGCGTATCATTTGGTTGGCCTTTATTTTCTTGAACAGCCGCGTAGAGACCGCAACTTGAGGAGAACCACCTTTGGCTCAGAGAGGCGGCTCAAAATGCGATTTCGCTTGGGGAGCGCGCACAAGAGACGTATGTTTGTTGTCACCCCGCCACCCTGAGGTCATGGTTGCAACTTAAGTCCCAAATCTCTCCCCAGGAACCAGAACAACTCGGCGCAGGGCTACTTTTGGACAAACCAATCAGCCATCTTGAGCATGTTTACCGCATAAGCCATGCCAAACTTTGAGGTTTTGGTTCTTGCTCCATTACCCCTGTGCATGCTTTGGAGTTTGCTGCTTTGCTTTTCTTGCTTTGTACAAATCAAGAGCAGCAATCTCTGAGCATTCCCCGCCCCCCAGTCCAGTTGACATTCCTTCACGGTTGTTGCGTTTGTTCAAGGCATGAGTACTTGACGGTGCCTGAGTACATCCAAGACATGTGACTGGCTTGCAGCACCTTCACAGGTGATGCTGAACTGTGGCCACGGGAGTGTCTCCTATAGTACCGCACTACGTGCACACACACACAGACACAGACACAGACACACACACGGACACAGACACAGACACAGACACAGACACAGACACACAGACAGACAGACAGACAGACAGACAGACACACAGACAGACACAGACACACAGACAGACACAGACACACAGACAAACACACACACACACACGGACAGACAGACAGACAGACAGACAGACACACAGACAGACACAGACACACAGACAGACACAGACACACAGACAGACACACACACACACACACGGACAGACAGACACACACACACACACGGACAGACACACACACACACACAAACAGACACACACAGACAGACACACACGCAGACAGACACACACACACACAGACACACACACACACAGACACTCACACACACAGACACAGACACAGACACACACACACACACAGACACACACACACAGACACACACGCACAGACACACACACACACAGACACACACACACACACAGACACTCACACACACAGACACAGACACAGACACAGACACAGACACAGACACACACACACACAGACGCGCACACACACACACAGACGCACACACACACACACAGACACACACACACACACACAGACACTCACACACACAGACACACACACACACAGACACACACACACAGACACACACACACAAAGACGCACACACACACACAGACACACACACACAGACACACACACACACAGACACACACACACAGACACACACACACAGACACACACACACAGACACACACACACAGACGCACACACAGACGCACACACAGACACGCACACACAGACACACACACACAGACACACACACACACACTTACACACTTACACACTTACACACTTACATACTTACATACTTACACACTTACACACTTACACACTTACACACTTACACACCTACACACCTACACACCTACACACCTACACACCTACACACCTACACACCTACACACCTACACACCTACACACGCACACCCACCCGACTTAGACAAAGCTCCCTTGAAGCGGACCCAAAAGGTGATGTCTAAAAAGTATAAGGGAGGAATATTATATATTGCGTGGAAATAACTCGCCTGTACTACCAACGTGCACAATTCACATGATCACTGTATCCTGTAATCCTTCAAGGGGAAAGCACGAGGACACCAAGCAGCTTTCGGGGTCCGATTCAATTTTTGGATACATCTCCAGCCTGCTCTTTGCAGTAGGACAGCAGCTCCGGATCCTGGATGTCTTTCTCCGACATCTCCGCAAAGCCTCTCAGCACCACCCCTCTCTGGTTGGCGATCTTCAGGGCTCGCACGCTCAACTCGGTCATGTACTCCCGGTTCCTACTGTTTCTTTACTAACAACAGTCCTTTGCCCTGGTCCTTTTGCGGTTTCTGGACACGCGGAACTTAGCCAAAGAGAACCCAAGACTCCTGACGTTTAGAATGGACCGAACAAAGGCCCGTAGATTCGACTCGTGCGGTACATACCCATACATTATCATGGTGCATAAACCCTGATCTGAGATGATCTGGCACCAACCCGATCTGTGGCTGCAATCGGGGTGAGACAGGGGGTGGCCCCCAAGATTGAACCTTGAACATCACCGTCAATTATGGAGTTGTGTAAGTCTGGCATCAGCTTCAGACACAAGCATCCATATTCCAATAATACATCAGCAAAATTGCCCATCAACGCAGTCCCAAAGTGTCCAGAATCCAACACGAAGACCGGTGTGATTGCAGGATACTGCTGCCAAAAGGTCTTTAGGAGTTCCTCGCTTGTCTTTTTCACACTTCTTCTTGTGGTCTCCTCCTCATTCGAAATCACGCTTCGCGACTGGCTCTGTTGGCCGAACACCAGAAAGGAGCCTGGCAAAACATAATGCCTTTTCAGCCTCCGGTTTTGACGTTAGGGGGTGGGTTGCTAGGCAGCACCACCAAAACCATCAGGGCTTCAACCCAAATCGACAAAAACAAGGATTTACACCCTTCCGTTGGTAAACATTTACTATTAGGAGAAGGAGGATGAGTCACATCCTTCTGGTTCAAACCTGACCTTGGCCAATTTTGGCGGATTGAATTGCTGCGTGGGAAATGAAGCTGAAAGGTCGCCCCGAACCACTGTTGAACCGCCGGGATACAAGTTACTCAGGGACAATCTGAAATCCGGCTGGAAGAAACACCGCAGGAGCTGGGTTTGTCTCTAAATAGGGGAACTCTCAAAATGAGGCCCTTATTTTCCCTTCCGTTTCCCTAGAAACCAACCTCGCAAAGCAAGCTTATCCTTGGAACCTATTTCCCTGATTCCCTTTGTTTACCCGCTAGTATCCTGAAAAACAAACAAACACGCTCCTGCAAATCATAGAGCCAAAGCCGATGTAGACGGGCGCGTCGCCCTTTGCAAGGAAGGCGCCCAAGGCTGACTGGTCCTCAGGGGTTCCAATTGGCACAAGGGTAGGGGCATCTGATTCTGCAATCAGCGGATACCAGCCCAACTGACCTTTCCACCTTTCTTGCTACTGGACAAATTACGTGGGGATTCCGCTGGTACTGAAAGTGGCTCGAACGCCTGAAGCGGGCACCAAAGAACTGTTGGAATGCCGCGTCCTGCGCTCCAAAGTCTGGGCCTTCTTGCTTCTCCGGTTCCATAGCCACTGGCCCCAGAACCTGCCGCTGACCCTTCGGCTGGCGGGGCCCAAAGGACAAAGAGAAAGCGTCAAACTACAAGTTCGTCAGCTGCCAAGGTAGAATATAAACCACATGCCGCACCATTGGAATGAAGATAACGCAAACAGCAGCCGTGATATATTTCTCTAATTAAAAGAACATACTAACACATGCCGAATTCTTCTATGATGTTACATGTAAACCTAAGACAGTTCCAGAACTATTTTGCAATGGAATCGCGGTTCCTGGAAAATACGGTTCTGAAAGAAATGATCAGAGGACACGGGTATGATCGTCAATGAGAGCTCATTGATAGCACAAAATAAGCATTCAAATTGGTAATCATAATGTGCCTAAATGGGGTAAATACCCAGTGGGTGTATTACAAAAGCCCTCAGGGAGAAATACAAAAACCCTTAGACATAAAGAAAGCGTGGAGAGAGAAAGAAGGATACCGCAACATCTATGAATCATATCTATTTTCTATTTCTCTCTCTATATCATTTATTTTACCTTCTCTTTCTATTCTAGCGCCTCATGATAGAGTTACAGGAATAAATATGAAGAAGAACCGTAGAAAGAAAACACACGGTATACAATAGATTTATTGCAGATGAGATTCTGATCGTAAAAGAACACAAAACATGGCACCAGTTTTCGAGCTAACAGGCCTCTTACAACTCCATATCAGAGCATGCTAATCATCAAGCAATAAACAGTCTAAAGAAGACTAGACATTCTGTTTGTTTGTGCTCGAATTGGGAGAAACAACGGGTATCCTTGGCTGGCTCTTTCGCAATGCTGACCCCCATCCCCATCTTATGAATTAGACCGTGAGGAATGGATGGGGGGTGGGATAGGTGGTTGAATGGAGACGCTTCCCTCGTCCACTCACAAACGAAGGCTGACCCTGTACTTGCGAATCACTCTCTAAGTTCAACCGCCAATCAAAGAAGGTCAAACATTTCCATTTCCTTCTTTCCTTGTCTTCGGATTACACCGCCAGGCAAATGTACTCAGAGATTGAAAGGACAAGGGGAAATAGAATGATGAAGCCCAGCCCATTCCTTCTCTCTCCCTTTGCCAGCCAACAAAGTGGTGGATTTTTCCCAGAGACCGATTCCTTCAAGATGCAGAGATGTCCTAACTGTTTCATCACTTCGCTCAGTCACTGTGTCCTTTCCTTAATCCGTGTCTCCCATCTTTCAGAAACAGATTAGAGATGAGAGAGGAGTGATAGAAAATACCGAAAGGAAACCACACAACATGAAGCTGGAATGGAAAGAAGTCGTTCTATCTCTTGCTAGTGACATCTTCAGAATATTTATTGTAAATGATATTGTTGGACATTCACATATTTTATTCTCTAAATCTTTATCACTGGCAAGGAATAGAAATCTCATGGTTGTTGATCTTTCTAGCATTGTACCATCTTTATGTACTTACCTTGTCTCTTCTTTGACTACTGTTTGTTTGATTGGTAGCTCCTCTACACACACGAAAGCAATACGAATAACCATATTAAGATGTTCCCCTTTGTGCCCCCCTAAAAGAACAAGGGGACTCCCCCCAGCAAAACGCGGGTCAAATGGGAAGAACCCCTGACGCAGGCCTTGCACATGTCAGTGAAGTCTGGGGGGAGCGGCCCAGTCAGAACCTTGCTAATGCCAAAAAGGACCGGGTACTTTGGGCTGCAGCTGCAGTGCTCGTAGAACTCTTCCTCAAACTTGTGCAAAAGGCGAGATCACCTTTTGTGCCAAACCACATCAACGCATTCCAACTAAATTCGTGCTCCCTGTTCACTTGTTCGCGATAGGAAAGCCAATAGGGTTAAACAGCTTTCAGCATCTCATTGCCAATTGGCATGGCCCAGTTCTTGCGTGGCATCCTATTCCTCTTTCGTCCATTCTCGTTGAACCCATGCCTGGGGGTTGTTTTCTTGCTTGTTTCACAACCCTCCTCTTGTTTGTGGGTTTCTACTGCACCCTTTTCCATTCTATATTCCGGGATCCTTCTCAGAAAATGGGTCAACCTCTGGAAACTGAAGAGAGTGATGTGAAAAAAACAGTGTGGCGAAACCCCGGTCCGCTCTGACCCACAGAAGGAACCCCTTTTTGGTAGGACTATTTTTAGTGCAGGACCACCCAAGCAAAACATTGTTTTTCAGGGGCCACTAACCCAAATATGAGGCCCCCAGAAACGGTTGGCTTCCAGTAGGCCCCAAGTTCGTGGTCTTTTAGGAACGGCTCGGAGCAATGCTGAGCTTCCAAAGTGAGATGGAACTCCTCGGAAGGAACCCCAGCCAGCTTCTCCAAAATGGGACCGGAGGTCTTGCGCACGTTCTCCGCAAAGTCCAGATTCAAATAATCCCACACACGCAGATTCAGGCCTTAGGCAACAAACGGAATTGGGTTGGCCTCAAAGTAG